GTACGTATCAGATCGACTTTATTGGACCTCTTCCATCGACGAACAAGAGATACCAACACATTCTAACTGTTGTCGACGCTTTTACGAAATTTACTTGGTTCTATCCAGTGAAATCACCAACTACGCAAGAAGAAGTTATTTCAAAATTGAAGCAACAACAGACTGTATTTGGAATCCAGCCAGAATCATTTCAGATCGAGGTAGTGCCTTTGCATCGAAAGAATTTTTAGCTTATTGTACTGAAGAAGGAATAGAACATGTCAAAATTACTACCGGTTATTCCAAGAGGTAACGGACAAATTGAGCGAATTCATAGAATTTTGATTCCTGTTTTGTCAAAATTATCACATGAAGATTCAACGAAATGGTTTAAATATGTTTCAGATGTTCAGAGAATAATCAACAGTACACTACGAGAAGTACAAAAATATTCACCGTTTGAGCTTCTCATAGGCACGAAATGAAGAATAAAGAAGATTTGAGAATTAGTGAGATATTGAATGAAGAATATCTAAAACAATTGATGCAAGAACGTGATGAATGAGAGAAGATGCGAAAAACAACATTTTGAAGATCAAGAAGAGAATCGTAAACAATTCAACAAGAAACGTAAGAAACCGAAACTATACAAGATTGGCGACTTGGTAGCCTTCAGAGAACTCAATATGGGACTGGTTTGAAACTACGACCTAAGTTTCATGGACCGTATAAATCATAGCTGTTCGATTAAATGATAGATATGAAGTCGAGAAAGTAGGATGCCATGAAGGACCAAATTTGACATCTACTGCGGCTGACCATATGAAGCCATGGTCAAATTGATTTAATGCTTGTATCAGCTCAAAGCCTAAGGACCTGATACTCTTTTTCTTTTTCTTTCTTTTTTTTTTTTTGTTTTTTTTTTTATTCTCTTTGCAGTACATGATAGTGATGTCCATTCAACAGACATCGAGGACGAGCCTCTTCAGGCTGGCCAAGCTGTGGAGTCATCAACATCCAATGCCGAATTAGAATCCAGATGACTCATTAGTACAGCCCAGCGCAGTAAGAATCATCCCAGACAGCGCTGAACCTGGTCGAAGTGGATGGCAGACGTGAGAGACGGCTCACACGTCTTCAAGAGTTATGAACTTTAATTGTGCTTCGATTTATGCCTTTATATCATTATGTTAATCCTGCATACCGTTAACTTCATCTTTATTTACTTTTATTTACTTTTATTTCTTTCTATTAAATAAACCATTTAACTATTACTTCGTGCTGTCATGCTGTGAATTAAGTCAAATTCTACATGTATATGATTTGGAAAATACGTACATTTTAACTCACTAAAACGTTTCTCTCAGATTTGTTTTCCTTCACTAATAAAAAGTTATTTTTCCTAAAGCGAAGAATTTTTAAGTTTTCAAGTCATTTTAAATTATTGAAAATTTATATAACATAACGTTAAATTATAAATGAGATAGCACTTTCAAATTTATATATTGGTATAATAATAGTTCAGTTATTAAATACAGGAAGTTGTCCATGGCGTGTTCCCTTGCAAAAGGCAAATGTTGCTCTGTTCTCCACAACAGTTTCCTTCAGCCAAAATTTGTTGATAGTTTTACTGGTTTAGTTTAACTTAAATCTATAGATAATCTATAGATATAGACTCTATAGATCTATAGATAAACTATAGGTAAGTCTATAGATATAGACTCAAACTTTCGAATCGAAAGTACTCTGAGGACTAGTGATCAGAATTTTGAACATCTCTAAATAGGTTACCAATCTGAAGATAATTTTATAAATACTGTCCATATGACATCAGCAATCTTTCGAATTAATGGCAAATTTAGCTTCAAAAATTTGATTTTGTAATAAATTTCAGTAACTATACATTATGGTTAAGACAAATCATACACTAAAATAAAAAAGTAACGAACACTTATAAGTATTTCAGTACATCTTCTACGAAATGTGTGACAAAATATGATAATGGCTCCAAATGTAGTTAAAAACAATCATCTGGGTGCTGGCAATTTTCAAATATTAGAACTACAGTGTACATTCTACTATCCAGGCTAATGTTGGGAAGTAGGTCATGGATAATTAAAAAACTCTTATAATTCAAACTATAAACTTTATGTGTTTATTTCTTTATAAAAGGTCAGTAATTTTACTTTGTTTCCGAGAAAGTTTAAATTCTTGTCCAGTTCAACTGCATATTTTTTGAAGCGCTGATTTATCATTCTGTTCGAATCCCCTTTAGTTGACGAAGTCCAGTAGAATTTCAACAGAAATCATAGCTGTCTCGAAACTAAAGTATCGTATTCGTTTGTATTTTCAGTATTACTCTTTGCCTTTTCTGTTTTTTTTTTCTGACATTTGAAGCCATATCTCCATTGCGCAAGCAATTGAAAGCCCAGCTCAGGCGAATCGAACCTTTTCTCGTTCAAAGAATCATCGGACCATTTCTCGATGTTTTCCTGATCGACGTTTCCATTTTTTTGGTACACAACTTGGGTTATTTCGTCGACTTCTTCACAATTAGATAAATCTGCACATGCAGGAGGAATTTCACGAAATAATCGTTGAAATAAACCTAAAGATGCAATTCAAAGAATTTTAGAACATGCTTGGACTTCGGGTTGTTTGTGTTTTACACTCCGTCACGCATAAATCTGTATGAGAGCTTGAGCACCTCTACGCAAGAATAACTGAGAGTACACTGTAATTAAAGTTTTTCTTGAATTTCATCCGAAGTAATCCAAATGATAAAGAGAGAGAATTTGTGTACCTCATTGAGTAGTGCTAAGAAACTAACAGCGTTCATTAGCAAACCAATTTTTATTTACTAATTTAACAACTGATGCTCAGGTGCTCCTGCACGTTCCCCGATCTGAATCATAATACAGGAAACAAATGGTTATCTGGATGCATCCTCTCAAGCAATTATTTTTCAGGTACTCGGCTCGTACAGTTTCAACTAGAATTTAATATGAATGAAAAAAGACCAAATATTAATTTGCCGGATCGCTGTGCACAGTCAAATGAAAGTCAATAACCTGCCTCATGTCTCGACACAGAGATGAAAATGGCGCAAAAACGTGCTTGCTTTATTCTTGAAGACTCATGGAAAGTTTATAATTCATGGTGATGTTACCGATAGTAGACTTCAGCTTTATAAAGGATGGATTCCCTGCAGATAGATATGAAACTGTTTTATGAAAAAGTGCGAAAGAGGAAAAACTGCATCTGAAAACGTTGCGCACGATAAGAGAAGAGGTGTACAGAAGAGAGCTTAAAGCCATCCAGACAAGATATTTATAGCAAACGTCATTGACACGAAGCAGAATATAAGATATGAGTAAAAAATGTGAGGCTCGCTCTCCCATTATCATGTATTCGAAGCATACTGAATATTTAGTAAACCGTCTAAAATAGAAATCAAAACTTCAACTACGAATGACCAAGGCATTAGGCTTTGAAAACTGGGTAAATTCATGAATAATGATTCCTAGTCTCAAATCGAAAATAAGATAATGATCAGCTATCAGAGTTTTGAGTAAGTATAAAAATGTCAGCAATTTTATATGCGATAATTGTATAAATATCGTATATAAAATTGCTGACGTAATTTGGCGATAATTTTATAAATACTGCATTATGACATCAGAACTTCGAAGGGCACTAAAGTTTATAAAATTATTTACATTCAGAAAATCGTAGTATCTAGCACATTCCGTATAGCAGAACATGAGACAAAATATGCATAAAAATACAAAGAAAATACATATACTAATTTGTATAACATTAACAATTAATACATACAAAATCACTTAGAGAAATATTAAAAATTTTCATGCATATTTTAGACTAATTTTGTAACCTATGTAGCTTGAACGAGTTCTTCTGTCTTTGAGCAGTTCGGTCACTGTATCAGGTTCAGTGTTTCTCCTTACTTGCTTGGGGAACATTCAAGAACCTGACTCAGAACAGGGAGCTTACTAAAGCTATGTTCAATAAATGTGGGAAGTAGACAAGATACACAGGAAGGGTATACGAAACCCTTTATTTTTTCACTCTTTACAATAATTTCCAGACTTCAGAATACAGAGACCAACCACTTGTGGTCTGAACATAAGAATATAAAAAATATTAACTAACTCTAACTTAACTTCGGAATAATAAACAAGAGCCTACGTGGAAGATTGGCCATGTATTAACAGGAAGCCGTATGTAGTACAGATCACTGTTAACACTACAATACGTTTAAATTTATCAAGAGGATTAAACCTCTGGCCTGGAAGGCAATCAGCAACCGAGTAAAAACTGCTAAGGCAAGCGGCCTGCTTCTACTAACTCCTTCCTCTCTCTTGCTTGGCAAAAAGCCACAACTTAAGTACTTGGCGTTCGCCAGACAAATTTGCATAAATAAGTTAAAGCTTTTAATTCTGGCAGGAAGTAGAAAATAAGAAGTGATAGTAAAGATTTAAAATAAAATAAACGTTAGTAAAACTTAAGATCCTTACAACTGAAGCTATCAAAAACGTTTGTTAGTAATTGTGTACTACTCGATGTGGAGTCTATCAGACATTTTATTTCGGAGATGGAAACATGAAAAGTGTGCAGTGTCCTGACCGGATCTCGAACTCTGGACCTTCTTATTACTTGATGGACGTATTTCCAATTACACCATCGCACACAGTAAGGAGCGAGAAAATACTTTACACGGTTTCTAAACGAGCTTCCTATAAATTTATTATCCATTAAAAGTTGTCTATACTTAAAACTACTTTATTCACTTAAAATTTGTCATATCTTGACAAACAATGTATATATCTTGAAAACACCATTTGAATAACAATTAATAATAACTAAAAGTTTGGAATTCAACAGCGTAATAGCTTGAATTTCAAACCTGCCACAATTCAATAACTAGATTAATCGCACTAAAACTACGTAATTTGTTTATACGATCACCACGAAAGACTCATTAATGCGAAAGAACTTACTTGCCCTTTTTTACGAAATTGCAGAAGATGATTGGGTAGAGAAGAGGATCGATATTTTCATCCAAATTTTCTATCAGCACTGTCTGACCCGCAATGACAGCTTCTTCAATACAGTCCAAATACCTAAAATTGTTTATGCATGTGTACATGAAAATGAAAACTTAAAGTAAATCGATTTTCTAAGCTCTAAATATTACATTTGGAACATTTTATAGTAAGTAAGGGAAAGACAGTTACGCAAAAATAACTGACTATATTTATATACTGGAGACATGAAATGTCACACCCTTTGTTTTGTTTGTTACACATTTATTTCTCATAGAAATATTACAGAATGAATACATAGTTTGTCTGAGCATAGAAAGTGAGTTTACTGTAGAATGTGTTTAATGTGTTCACCATTTTGAACCTCTGTAAGCGAAATTTTGCATTTGTCACAACCTTCTGGAACATCTCCGAAATTGTACGGCATTACTGCACGATAAGAGCCCTAAATTGCGTTACATTTGCAGGTTTCCTCATGAATAAGTATTTTTCAAAACATCCTGTAAAAGAAAACGTATGGTCTATGCGGAGGCCACTATCTCCTACCTTTGTTAACGTTTAGGAAAACAGTAAAAATCCCATACAAGAGATCAAAAACACATTTGCAGTCTGTGGATGGGCTTTATGTTGCATGAACTGCTGAGTATGTAAAGAGACATCTGTCGCCATGTATATATGTGCGTACAATTGATGGGCAATTCTTATCCACACAGAACCAGGGTCTTCCAATTACTCACACAGTCTATGAATGAACTATTTGCAAGGAACTAATCTCGCACTAAAATGTGCACAAAAATGTCTTTGTCACATCACCAAATTCTTTTGTTTTTCAAAAAGACATTACAACATTTACCTTCTGTTCAACACTCAACCAGCCGCCACATTGCAAACTACCGTTTCGCAGCAAATCAACTGACTTCTTCTGACATCATCATCTACCGGATTTTCCATGAGCAAAAAGCAGCCGAGTATGCATTTTTAACATTCAATATATAAGATTAAAAATTTCATGACGTGACTGGTTATTAGAATATTTCAAGTTGCGCCGTGTATGTATTAAAGCAAAGCGATCAAATACTCTTCTAATGTAATAATCTACAAGCGTTAAGTATGAATGAATGGAGATAGCATATATTTTTTGTGCATTATAAGACATACAGAGATCAAATTGAAGGAAATATGCACATACGTTTAAACACATAACTAGCTTCGAAATGAAAATAAGTGTGTTGAAGTTACAAAAACAGGTAAGTGCATACGTGCTTTCCTTCCCCCCCAAAACATCCGATGAATAAAAATTCAATGAACTACTAATTCAAAATATTATTAAAATTATTACAGCAATTATTTTCATAGATTATTGGTATGATTTTGTGTTATTATATGTGCGCATGTCTTGTAAACAATGTTATTACATAAGTTCGATCCATTTGCACAATGACAGGGATTGCATATACTATGGTGCACCTAAGTTCGAAATCTGTTCAATACCGAGCAGCTGTAAAAAGCTCTATAAATCTTTGCTCTATAAATCTTTCTTTAAAATCTTTGCAGAGTGATAATGCAGCCAGTCCATCGGCTGCCTCATAGGATTCATGGATACCTCCTATATTTGGAAAAATCCATTATAAGTTCCAATAACTGGTAAGCTGTGTTTTTTTTTTCGGATAAAAGTAACTATCTTCATTCATACTCATATACAATGAGAGTACCTGCTTTATAATAGCTTTCAAATAGGATGAATGATTTGAAAGATTAAGAGATTTGCACAGTTTATCCTTTTTTTAAACCGGGAATACAAGATGATCTGAAAAAGATGTGTCAATAAGAGATTGAAATATCGCAGGAACCAACAATGATAATATCACCCGAAAGAGATATTCATCCCATTTATCATACACATTCACAAAAAATAAACAAAAAAGACAGCAAAATTAAAATAAAATTAATTTTGCTGACGAATCAACAAATTTTTATATGCGCCTTTTAAAACTGCCTGAAAAACGTTAAGGCAATATTCAGTCTCTCTCCAGGTGTTTGTTAGACTTCAGATGTTACAGATTCATATGTAATAATAATTCATTTTCCATGATCTTTGATTCTTTCACAAGGGGTGATTTTGTACAGGTCTTCAGCATGGGGTATTCATCTCAATGGAAACCTGAGGAGGAAACTCAATTCTATTCAGCGTCTCCAACTCCTCATGATTACTAAAGCTTATAGGGCCACCTCGACAGATTCATTGCACGGTGTTCGCTGGGTTACCACCATTGGATCTTGTCGTGGAGAGGAAAGCTGGACAAGCACGGATCCTACGCATAAAGGAAGTTTTATCTTGTGGGGGTACCCATTACCGCTCTCGTGATTACGAGGATCATTCCCCTCGTTCTCTGGGACATCCGGCGGACAATAAATTATGATGACAAAATCACCATAGAGCCCTTAGTTCCAGCTAGGCACGAAATTTGTCTTTATACGGATGGTTCCAAAACGGAGCTTGGCACAGGTAGCGGCTTCTGCGTCATGCGAGGCAATACTATCTGCTACACTTGGTCACAGAGGCTGTCAGATTACAATAGTGTATTTCAGGCGGAACTTGTAGCAATTAAGGCAGCATTAGATTATATTAAGCAAAATCTAACAGGACCAGTTCAGAATACTGAGTGATTCAGCATCGAGCCTACTGCTCATTAAAGAACTCAACAGCAAAGCGGATTCTGTCCACATTATTAGGGATGCTCTACTTCAGATTCCCGAGTCCCAACGACCGTACTTGAGCTGGGTTCCAGCGCATGTAGGCATTGCTGGAAAGGAAGAGGCCGATAGGCTTGCTAAGCTAGCAGCTAACGACTTGAATATGCCTGTAACACCCCTAAAAGCACCAGTTTCCTATTTAAAAAAGATTACGGAACTCAAAATGTTAGAAATTTGGCAACAGAGATCCACCACTCCACCACAGGCCAACTCCACCACAGGCCGCAGAACCTTTCGTTTCTTCCCCAAAGTTGGTTTGAATCTGGTCACTAGTAGTGCTCATCTTACACATTTCTTTACTGGACACGGACCATTTCCAAGCTATTTACGGCGCTTCAGATTAGCTACTTCAGACAGTTGTAGATGTGGAACACTAGGTGATCCGGATCACTTTGCTTTCGAATGCTCTCTCACGATACCATTTCATTTAAAAAAACCCTCTGAAGCACAGTGGTCCGGGTGGTCAGACACCCTCAAGAGAAGTAAGCTCGCATTTAATCAGATTCATCGAGTAATGGACATTTATGCTCGTGAATTCTGTTGAACAGAAGCGGTGTCAACAGCAGTTACAGCAGGCAATTCTATACCAACAACTTTCATAATTCTTACCTTACAAATCTGGTATCTTACTATATACGATAATATTCAACTACTTAAATGAGGACAATTTCAGAGACTAATGGCATGCCATTGTACCTATGTTACGTATATGCATGACAGCCATGTTTAGTGCAGTACATTAATAACTTTGCTGGAACATGTTTCCTCCTAGATGCAGATTACCACAATCAATGTCTGTCTATTTGTACTTCAGTGTCGCTTCTGTCCATTATTAATCTTTACATTTTATTGTTTTTACTTAATTTTTGTATTGTATTCTGTGTATTTCAATTTACATATTGTCTTAGTGTATTGAACTGTTAAGTAGTAAGTGTGTTGTGTTATGTTTTCAAATTAAGTTTGCGGTATAATAGTAAATACATATATAGAGCTCTCGGCTAGTACCATGAAATATTGTGTGCAAATGTTTTGTAACAGTTTCTAGTATTGTGAAAAATGCAACAGTTTCTAACAAATATTCGTGGCCGCAGAACCAACTTTCTGATGAGCACATTGTATATTGATTGTTATTTTGTAGTATTAGCCATTTTATTTCAGTGTATGTACAGTATTCCATTAAGTATCTTGTATATTTTTTTTTCTATTGATGTAGAGTATAATAGTTTAGGGTCGTATAATGATAAGTAAGTGTAATGTATAATAGTAGTATTGAACCAGACTTTTTTGGTTTGTAGAACTTTGTAAATATGTATTGAAATATTTTGCTGGATTTAATGTTTTGAAATGACTCGTATTCTAACTCTGCTACAATATATTATATTCGTAATTTCACTGTGACTGTTTTCAAAGGTTATTGTCTAGTGTTCTTTTGATTAGTTTTAGCGTTACAGTACAGCATCATGTACAAAATTGTCTACTTTTCGATACGAGCAGTGTATATGTTGTGTTTTATTTGTAGTATCAGCTTTACTATGTCAGTGTGTACTTTTCTGATACGAGCAGTGTATATGGTGTGTTTTATTTGTAGTATCAGTTTTACTATTTTAGTGTGTTGTTCAGTATTATAGTAATATATTGCATAATATTTTTTTAAGTAGTCTTAAATTTTACTGTTTTTGTTTTACCTTTACCAGTTTTGTATCAATGCAGCTTTGTACTTCTATGTATTTTTTTTTTAATCTATGCTATCAGGAATGTCATATGTATTCAAGGTAGTCCTTTGTATTCCCTATCTAGATGTGACTCTGTAATCTTTTTTTTTTTTTTTTTTTTTTTTTTTTTAATTTAGACTTAATAAATGTCTGCAGGGCGGACATCATACTGCAAGGGCTTGTTCCCGGTCAGTAGTCCTCCTTAGCAGTGTAAAAGTAAAAAATGTCTTTCAGAAGGGTCTTGGTGTATTTCCATATAATATATCTAAACTCATAAAATCATATGATCTTGGATACCATTTATTAGAAGCTTCCTTTACGATTCATTTTTAGGAAAATTGATTATCCAAAAAACATTGCAACATTCTGAGTTCCATTTGTCAACAAACGTGAAGCGCTGTAGTAAAAATGCGATTTGCCACCTACTAATGATAAATCTTGATGAATGTCTATTTCAGAAAAACTAAGTCGGATGATGCTATCATTATTGTTTCCCGATATATTTTAATTTCACCATGTATCATATCAATCAGGAAAATTAAACCCCTATCTGAATTAGTAATATTCTGTTACTTGATATAAAGGAATTTCTAAGATTCTTACCCTTTTTGGTCTGTTCGGACGATTAGCAGTTTATTTTCGTAAGTAGCTCTGATCCAAGGTATTGCTTGTATTTGGGGATCTATTACTAGAGGCCAGCGCCACAGAAAGAAACATGTAGTGAATATAGTTGCATTACCCACCGAAGCCGTGTCGCCGGGCAATCCAACGTTACGCCACTGTCCGATGACCGTTTCATCTTCCAAGAGCAATGATATGACTGGGTCTATCTGTGCAGTTTCTGCAGCATCCACTGCTACGGGTAAATTACTCTAGGAAAGAAATTTGATTAACTTTACAGCTATTCAGTTATGTGGATTAATGATATCCAAAACTTTTATTATCTGGATCTGTTATTTTTCGCTCTAAGCTTAATAAAATAACATTTGTTAATTTATTTAAAAGATTGAAGTTTTTGGCAATTTGAATAATCAGAAACGATCATCTGGATGTTTGTAATTGAAATCATAAATTTGGTAGCAACTGTAAATGTTAGTAATATATATTATTACATTATTAATGTTGTTATTTTAAAGCCAGAAGAGTGAAAGAGAGTGTCTTAATTTAATTGCAGTTATTAGGTTATTAATCTTGCCCCTCGCAATTAAAAGATAATTTCTTTGTTTAAGTTATTACATTTAAAATAAAAGCAAAGATTTTATGTTTGGTCTTATATCTACATAAATGACTTCTACATAAATTCTTTTATCGATATTAGAAGAAAAATGGGGCGCATCTTTAGACAAATAAAAATTAATGCAAAACTGTCTTTTTTAGATAACTAATTAACATTAAAGACAGTTTTCATTTTGTTTAATGGAAATGGGAGTACCTATTTTTTAACTGTATAATATTTGGTGAATAACTTAAATGATTCTTAACTGTATTATAATATTTGGTGAAACGCGGCCCAGACGGAAAAGTGGCTAGTGACTCTGACTGCCGTACCGAAGGTCCTGGGTTTGAATCCTGGAGAAGGCTTGGATGTAAATTGTCTTTCCTCTAATAGGAGGCAACAGTGGCCCACCTATTAGGTGCCTCCATAATAAAATGACCACCATTTACAGCCGTAGTAGAGTCCAACGCCTCTAATGGATAGTGCTCGCCACTGGAAATTACAAAAAAGGTATATTTGGTGAGATAAACTAAAATGAACTGAAACATCTCATACATTCCTTTCGTTAAGTACATATTCAGCCGGCAGAAAAAAACAGACAGCTTAATTATTCGCATTTTTCATATATCCCAGCTAAATTTTCAACTAATCCAGTTATCTGATGCTCGTATATAAACCACTTAAGAAATTTGCCATTTCAAAGATTCCGATATTTTGGAGAAAATGATATGAGTATATGTGCAGAGTTTGACAATCAAAAACAGCTTTATAAAATATATTGTGTAAAGTAAAATTTCAGAAAATAATATTATTCATAATTTATATAAATTATGAACCTGTTTTTATGTTTAATAATAGACTTTCAATTAATCTCTCAAATAATAACAATATTTTGCTTACAGAAAACTAAAATAATGTCATACTTGTTAGTAGCTTCTTCTTAAGTTAGAAATGGAAATAATTTCTCCATTTTCGAATTCATGAAAACTGGCTCCCAAAGGATAGATGCTTAGGATCGACATTTTTCAGAATATTCATAAATATTGGATAATTTGCGTAACTTTGCAATTATACTAAGAATCACAACAGTAATATGTGTCAACGATGTTGTCATGTTTTCAAAAGCAACTTAGCATTTCATATTTTGTCATTTAAGCAGACACTGTTTAATAATTGTAGGCTAATAACTACAGGGTGTTTCAGCGGGATGTTAAAACGTTTTGTTTAGTGCATAACGTTACTGGTAATCGCAATAAAGTTATATAAAGCCGGAATATGCTATATATATTTCCATTCCGGCTATATAAAGCCAGAATACACTTAAGAGTGAGAAAAATATAGAAAGTTTCGGCAGATAATATTTCTGTAGCATCAAACCAGCTGTTTTCTCGTTAACTCGTCCAGCTCAGTGAGACAGGTATCATATATAATAAAGAAATGCTTATTTATTGTGACACATTATCAGATTAGTGAATTAACAATACAATTATCACCTCGTGAAGAAACGTAGAATCTAAAATGGTCTTCAAATTAAACCACTAGATTCCCAAATATGTGTCTTGGCCAAAATTAACAATAACATTAGCAAATACTGAGACACATATTAATAAACATTGTAAAATTTACAAACATATTTTTCCAAGAGAATGGGTACGCTTATGGCACTTGATGTGATTGTAAATCTTTCTCCCTCTTATTCAAACATAGTTTTATTATTGCTTAGTGTTAGGCTCAAAAATAAATTAAAAAAAGTATATTTATCAAGTGAAACCTATTGCTTAAGCAACTTGTAGACAGTACAGCGTTTTTATGCTGTTTTTGATATTATTAACAATTGCATCATTAGTATAGATAAAAAAGATGTTTCTAAAGCAACATTATTTATATAGCCTTCCCGCATTTCAACATAGACATTCTGTTATACTATCCACTATAAGTTTATTTTCAAGAGAACTTGTATTACTTGCATAAATATAGTTCTGCAAATGTTCCACAAGAAGTAATCCACTTATGATAAATCTGCTGATCAAAAAATAAAATGTTGTTATATTGGACCTATCTATATTGGACCAATCTATTTTTCCCTCTTCAAAAATTATCACTGAAGTAGTAATTCAAAACGGGGACTCCACTATTCTGTTTTCGAATTCTCAAAAACTTATTTTACATAATTTCACACATACGGTGATATTATTACGTGATCTCGATATTTCTTTGAGCATGAATCACATTAATTTATAAGACTATATAACATATTTTGACTTTTTTTCATTTTTTAGATGAACAGCTTTCGATAGTTCTGTATAACAAATCTTAACATGTCCACTGCTTTAAAGAACATCGGCGATTTAAAGAAACTTCTCCATTAGGGAATTTGAAATTTTCTCCTTAATAATATATTTCGAGATATCATCTAATAATGTATAATTAAGTAACGATAATACAAACGTAGTGTTATTAGAAGCTTAAGTGGTATTAACATTCCACAACATTGGGAATTATCCTTTTTCCTGTTTGATATCCTATAGATAACCACCCAAAGGAAAAAAGAAATAAAAAAAATAAGTTATTATAATATATTAGAGTAACCAAAACATTATCCATATGATAATTTGAAAAATAGCTCGCTCGTTTGCAAGAATCTGGAGAATTAATTTTATTAGTTTTGCCATAAATAGGAAAAAAACAATTATAAAAGGAAAACTTACTTCGTTCTCCAGAAAAGGTTTCCAGAATTCATAAAGAAGCTGCAATCTGTACGGCCTCGTGAAAGGCCCAAGATAGGCCACGAAAGCGGAAGCCATGAGTACATCTCCCGGCAAAGTGCCTTCCAAGCCTTTGAAATTAGTTGCCAGTTGGGACCAACGCTGGCGTTCGGATTCTAGGCCACCAAGCAATCGGTTTGCTAGATGTATACTAAATGCCGTCTTCTGAGCTTCGGATTCACAACGAGCTTTGGCTTCGGTTGCTTCATCACAGCGTGCTTTCAGCTCGCTGAGTCTGGATTCTACCTCCTGTAATAAAGATTTCGTTTTTAAAACTGGCCATTATAAAAATAGAAACCATACATTGATTTTCAAAGAATGCTACTTCATCACGAAAATTTCTGAGTAACTATTGGCCAAAATCATATTATTTCAGTTTAAGATCAGTAGTGTTGTAATAACAACAAATTAATACTGTTTGCCTCCTCAAGACCATTTGTTTGATAACTACCTAGAGTAACAATGAAATAGAAAGATAATTTACGTAATTCATTAGGAACCATTCAGTAATACATTCATTTTTTTAGAAACTTGGGGCAGAGCAAGTCTTTTGCTATCATGTCATTCGTTCGATTATTAATAAGCCCGCTATCTTATAACATAAATTTTAAGTTAGGAAACTAGTCCAGGTTCTTCTCTATCTACTTGCATCTAGGTATATAAGTAGTATCTAGAAAAAACAAATAATATTAAAAAAATGTTTTAAAGTCAATTCCTACTTAGGGCAACAAAGAAAAATTTTAGTTTAGTTACTTTGTAGTGTCAAGGTGGGTTAACTTCTATCTGGATACATTAGTAGCAGGAAACTACACAGAAAAAGGGTTCAAACCCTTTATCAACTCTTTAAAATTTACACTGCGTCAACTCGACGCTAACAAACTTCGCTTCCACTTGGGCGGTAACTGAAAAGCAGATAATTGAAAATCAAAAGTTGAAATGTTTGAAATGTTTAACAAGTGCTAAACTAACTTACAGGGCTCAGCGAGATCCCGAACTTCAACCCCCTTCTAAAACTAGTGGCAGCAGATAAATGCAATTAAGCCACTTGAACCAGCAATCAGCAAAACGTACCTACGCCAGAGACGGCAGCTAGAGCCTAACTCTCTAACTTGCCTTCAAAACCTCGGTATTTAAACTTTTCTCCTCAAAGCACAATTTGCATTCTTCCACGCGCGCTACCAAATTTAATCATTCTGGCACCGACAATTAGGGGGATGAAGGCTTATAGGAAAGTCTGAACTAAAATTTAAATTATTAATTAAATTAAATATAAATCCTTACAACTTTTTATTAACATTTTTTCGTTTTTAAAATTTATGAAGCTGATGGTGGTTTATAATTTTTCATTTTATTCATCGCTTGTAATGCTTCATTATTGCAAAGAATCTTTCCAGTGAGTTTCGAGCAGTCCAGTTCTTCAATCAATATACCATCTAATGGTTTCACAAGGCTCTCTCAAGGAGACATATGCTTGACCTACTGCGAAGAGTTTTCATTTTGCAAGGAACCCATTTTAAAGGGTTATATTTTAAACGTATATTATTATCCCGTTAACATAGAAATATGGGGAGAATTTTCGCTACATAATGGGATATTACAGCCGCTTCATCCAACTCTATAAAACTACAATTTTTTTATTCCCTACACTTTAAAAATCTTTAGGACTCTGTCTTACTGTTGCCACTTATTTTTGTTAAACATTACAATCCCATTTATCACAGTCGTGCACTATTATTTATAAGTTGTTATAAAATTAATTTTTACAGAATTCCTAATAAACTGTCATTATTTGTAAGTCTTAAAAACAACTTAAAAACAGCATACCTTTAGTTCCGATAAACAAGGATAAATGAGAAGGAATTGAATATGTGAAAAAATTGTATTAACATCAAGTGTCATCCACTACAAGTTTAAAAATTGTATTTGAACTTAATGAATAAAAAGTATTTTTTAACGATTTAAAATTTGAGCAAGATATAGGGAAAGTGTGAGTTAATAGTAGGAGTTTAATAAACTCGAAACTGTATATCGGAAAAATATTTATTAGAAGGTATACATCACAATATCGCTAAAAACGATTGCTTTAAATTTTGGCTTAGATGTCCTTGAGTCCAGACAGTTTCAGAAAACATTCTATGTTATTTGACGTATCTTCCGGATAATTCTAGTCGCAACATATGGTATGCGAGGTTTTAGATACTGAAAGCTTAACGGGCCATTTTGATATAGTAGACATCATTTCTAAAATGAGCCGTCAAGAAAACTATCACTTGGAGTTAAAGCTGGAGACCTAGGAAACTATCCGACATGTCCTTGGCTCTTTTAAAGATATTTTCTTGCAACAGACTTGTTAACATGAGAAGTGCAATTAGTAATGTACCTGACTTAATGTACTCTCCGTTGTTCTACGAGAATGCGTTGTCGTTAAGCAATTAATTTTTTTATCTTCTACGCGTCTGTGTTTTATCATTCAGGAAAGTGTTACGTATTTAGTATTCCTATCAAATTTATTCCGCAATTACTGTATTTATGCGAATCTAATGCACCATCGAATCTAATGCGCATCCCCATTTTAAAACTTTAAATAATAAAAAAATTGTTTGTCGGCGAATGTAATGCGCATCAATGGTATGAGGAATTTATTGAATCTTATTTTATACAACAATGGATTTGTATATAAACTATCAATCAATGGTATGATAATTTTATTTAAATTTAGATACCATATTTTATACAACAATGGATTTATACATAAAGTAGCAGAACATAGAATTAACCTATTAGTGGGCTATTGTTATGTGAAACAATCATTGTTAATTACCACTACCGTATATACGGTACATATCGTAAAGTATGAACATGAAATAAATCGGTAACATTTCTATCTAGCTAACAGTTTCTACAATCAGTGATTAATAGTAAACGTCTTTATTCACTATTTTGATGATAACTTTTTTAGTCCCCTTCTCCGTAATGGTGTAGTAGTTACGAGGCATATCAAACCAAATTGGCGTCTCGTCAGCGTTGCCAATTTGCCCCATTGAAAAATTCTTTTCCTTCCGAAGTGTGATGACATACCGCTAAAATGTTAGTAGTTTTCCCTCAAAATCTGCAGGAAGCTTTTGGCATATTGTTGTACGGCGTCTTAGAAATAAGCCCATCCGCTTCATAAACCGATCCACCCATCCACGGCTAGCTTTAAACTCTCGTTTCGGTATTTCCAAGAACTTCAGCCTCCTCTTTTGCTTTATTTCTTATAGTGTCGCTAGTCACAGGTTGTCCATTCTTCCTCCTTTCACGTACAAATTCCAAAACTTTTTCTTCAATTTTAGGGTGTCTTCCTTTGCGAGGGCCAGTGAATTTCTTTCTACTAGTTTTAGTTGCCAAACAGTGCCAATTTCTGTTGCCGCCGCCACAAGCGAACATTGCTCTCAGCTACGTTGAACTCTCTCCCAGCCTTTCTATTGCCATTTCTTTCAGGATAAAGAATTACTTTACGTTTGAAAGTAGCGTCATATGACATTCTTCTCTGCTTGCCCTCCATTTCGTGACTACGTACTCTGCAGTTTGTATCCTCTATGCAATAATGTGTCAACGATAAATGTAACGGTAAATGTAGTCGAGAAATACAGTAATCCATTGTTACGATTTAAATTCGGTTGACGTCATCGGCGAACTTTGCACTCGAATCTAATGCGCACCCCAATTTTGAGTACTACATTTGGCCAAAAACGATGCGCATTAGATTCGCGTAAATACGGTAATTAATAAACCAAGCGATTAAAAACAATAAATGCAGCTACATTTCAGTTACTAATAATTGTTACCTGTGAAATATGCAAGCTGGATTCATTCAAATCGAATATATATATAGTTTGTTTAGTTGTTTATGTGTAATTCATATAAATCTACAGTTCTATTCCGATCTGAATGCAGTTTTCAAGCTTGATCTTCAAAACAAGAGGAAGGACATCCTCTACATAAGATCTGGAAAAAAAAAAAAAAACACTTCAGGAGGCCCTCATTCAGGGCGTTTATAGGAGAATGTTAGGCTTACGACACCCATCTTTCATACATACCACCGAGCTTAAGTCCATCGTTCTTGTTTTGTCGCTCTTCGTGGAAAGTCATACATTCTATGAGAGGAATTCGCAATTGCTTTTCTACAAAAAATAAATGCCATATTTCTACACAGTTTGAATTTTGAAATGACCCATCTAATATTAACGTCGCCTTTGTTGCATTACCGCTATCAGTTTTTACTAAAATCGTTAGAGGGCGCCGTTTTGATTTACTCTTTAGAAGAGTGTAGAACGTTTAAAGGAGAATTTAATTGCCCTTCATCTCAGTTTTTCGCTAATGCTTAGAAAACCGTGGAGAAATAGTCTAAAGAGAATAGCTATTTTTCGAAAGCTGATTTCTGAAAAAGTTATAAAATATAACCAGCAAAACTCGACGATTCAAATAATCGATCGATTCGTAACTAGTAATTCATAGTTATATAAAAAGCTTATCCAGAAAAGGCTTCCTGGCAACTTTGTATCCTTTTTTATCCGTTGAATCAGGAAGGGATACATAGAAAGCTGTGCATGCCCAACAGAATTTTGTATCATGCTGTTTCAAGTCCTACATTTTTTTTATAAAGGAACCCTTATCATATTATTACTTAACATCATTCCACCAAAACTGTGCAACGCAACAAGGCTCACCGCGAAGAATCTATTGCTGGACGTAATAGAGGCCGCCATTATCACGGGATGTGCCGCAGTTAAAGACGTTTTGTTTTTAATGGTCGATCGCTTTATTTAATAGCCATTAGCCTTGCGCCACTACAAGGACCGGAACGGTGGCCATTTCATTATGGAAGCGATGTTTTGGCGATTCTTTTTTTGACGCTAAGATCGGCGCCAGGAAGGCACAATTTCAAGATGGCCGCTACATAAAACGAAAATAAGAAATAAAAAAATTGCATAAACTCTGTGTTCATGTATTCATCGATCTATTTTCACTTGAAAAACATCAGAGAATTGCACAAACAATGCATTGCGCACTACCTTAACTTTGTTCATGTACACATCGATCTATTTTCACTTTAAAAAATCAGGAAGCTAAACAAAGTTAAAACTATCATGGTAACGAGAAATGTGGTTTCATCACCAAAATTGAACAAAATTTGTTCGAATCGAAGGGGCATCCAATTCTACATTAGATATGTAGTACATTACAAAACATACTCTTTTCTTGTAATATTTCTTTTTTAATATAAATTTTTCATATTAACAGCATTTTTATCAAATAATATAAGAAGAAATTAAAACTGATAATGAATATTTTCTAACGTTAAGAGACTTACCGTCACTTTTTCCTGTATTCTTGCTAGTTTTTCTTTCGCTACATTGTATTCGGCATTGGCTTGAGATAATGCTCGACGTTTCGGTTCCACATCGCAGTATACCTTCAAGAAAAAAGACAAATTTGGACAGTTACGTACTTAACAATCTCTTTTATGCAAAACAAAAACATAAAATTTACATTCATTAGAATTAATTCATGGGCAAAAAGCAAGTAGCTTATGATAATGGGTAAAATTCATCTAAAGATAATTAAATGTTAAAAATGATTTTTACACATAGCCTTTGAAATATGTATACGGTTATGATACTGACTTTAAACTACCAAACCACTTAAAATAACTGTAATAGACTGGAAGTCTGCTAACTATAAGTATCACAACTAAAGAACAAGCTTAAACTATTCATTAACTCATTGACCTAACGCAAACTGGAAGTTTGACAGAAAAATGTACCGTTGACTTGAGAGTTAAATAACACGGTTAAATTAAATAAAATGCAGAACCCAATATTGACAAGCTTAAACTAAACAGTAGCTTACTCTCACTAAGCGCTCGCGGAACAATTGCGGCTTCCTAAAGCTTAGGCCCGTAAACTAAATTGCAACAGAAAATTTGAAGCAGGCTGACTATAGCCAGCCTTTGCTGCCAAGCCTTTCTGAACAACTCGTTTCAAAACTTGACTAATTTGCGTTTTGGTGGAAGTTGACGAAAGGTATAGAAAGATTGAAAATTCAAATCAATAAGAAAACTGAGTTAAATAAATAAAATCTTACACATTGATTTGCACATATTCGATCAAAGACAAAATTAGAAGGGCCATTTATGCATCCGTAAGAAAAAAAAAAGTTTTTTTAGTGGCTATTTATTTATATTTTTAGGGCGAAAATGATACTTATCACACAAATGTCATTTAAAAAAATGAATGCAAAAAATGACAACAGTTTATTTTAAATGTCTGATATACTGATGAAAAATGAAATACTATCTCAAATGAAGAAATTCATGGCCGAAAATAGAAATCTCAACTATAGTCTGTTAGTTTTAAAACAGAAACTTCAAGATGATTTTCCTTGACTTGTAACATGGGAACAGCTGCTGTGGAAAAAAATGGAATTATTTAATTGTTTCCCCTTACTTCATTTTAGTTTAGCGTGTTTTGCTTTGTTAAAAGCACGCGAATGAAGGCTGGCTTGAACCACGGTCCGTAATGACGTAGAAAAAATAAATTATGCGTGTTAATGACGGCAAGAGTTACGATCGCCAAAGTTATGTGAAACGTAACAGACTGTTCAAGTCTTATTAAACAAACTTTAAATTTTTCTTATTTTCATAGATGTTTTTTAATCTTCGTCAGATAACTATGTCATTGCTAGAGCTAATTTCTTAATGACATATATTTCCTCTATTCATTCCCAATGGACATCTATCCATAACTACATAATAATCCATAACTACATAAAATAATATTTCGATAATTCTCGTGGCACCATACCTGAACCATTATTGCCGCACATTCAGAAAATTTAGTATCAAATATTCAAAACATTTTCTCGTTATTTTACAATTCATAATATTATACATTACGAAGTTTTTTTAATAAGATATTCTTCCTTAAAGGAGTTGCATTCTGATTAATATTTTTAATGTTTTGTTAAAGAATTGATTTTAATATTAACTTATCCCATAGATTTACAGAAAATATCTTCTGAAAAGTAATTTTCTAGATAGGAAATGTATTTATTTGAGGCATCTGTTTCTAAATACATTAGTCATTTTATAAAAGTCCTGTTCCGTTGGTTTATGACATATACTAATTTATTGCCTATCATTAAAGAATGGAATAATTTTCTAAAGAAATCAGGATCGTATCTGGTTTTCCTTTTATGAGTTTTTCTTCAATTCTAGGTTACAGATTGTATTTTGCGCATAAAGGAAGAATCATAAACATATTCATTATTTTGTTTAGCTCAGCAAAATTTTAAAACAATAACTAACTATGAAGCTTTCACAGTTTGAAGCACAGTGGGAAAGAACTAAATGGTGGCATTGCCAGTGATTGTTTACAGGAAGTAATTTGATTCAGAATGTTGGTAATAGCCAGTTTTAATTCCAGCATTCTGGATTACATTACTCTCTACGAACAATCACAAGCTATTTTCAACATCATGGATTAAATTACTTCCTGCAAACTATTACTGGAAATGCCACTCTTTGGTTCTTTTCCACTCGCTTGAACTTTTATTTCTTTGTAGGTCTACCCATTTTATTAGTATTTAATCATTTTGTGTGTGATATCCCTTAGGTTATACTACTTTGATTGCGTTTTGTATTGTTTAATATGACATTATATTCTCTCTGTCAATTTTTTAATGCTACATTTATTTTGAAAATCTCTGCTCTATTTTATGTTACGTCATTCATTGAGCATCACCTCTACAATTTTTATCACTACGATTTCGTTTTATTATTTTTGCGTTTCTTTCCCTGTTGTGAAACTGAGTTATGAGTCTGAAACTTGAGTTACTTACATAATTCTAATTTTACTCCTTTATTGCGTTCATTATATTTCATTAAGATCCCTCTCTAATTCATCCGTTTATATCCTTGCAAATATAATGCCTTCACAGTGCTTGTGCTGTGTTTATTATGTAATATTCTTTCGCAGTTATTATGTAATCAACTGCAATGCCATATTCACTCAGTTCTGTTTTTTTTAATTGCATTTTTTTATTTATTAACAATAATACAACTTCGCTGCCATATTTTTATGTAAATGCATTGCTGTATTACACACTCATTTAGTCTATGTAACTTATTTAGTTTTTATTGTTATTTCTTATCTTTTATTTATTTCATTTATTCTTTCTTGCATTTCTTAACTTATTTCTATTGCATTTGCTTATTCACCATTTAAAACATTAATTTTTAGAAATTTGTCGCAATTTTATTGTAGCTTACTCTACCTTTGACAATTGCAGTATATATGTGTTCGGCAAAGATTATAAGCACGTGCATTTCAGGCATTATGTTACAGATAATTATAACAGTTCTGCTAATAGGCTAACGCCCCTTTGTTGGCTAAAAGAAAAAAAAGTTTGAAAACACATACTTCTGCGTTTGTAACACGCACAAGCATCATCACCTGCAAATTACAGGAGACAGGAACCCACCAGATGAGTAGTTGTTCCTCTTTTAAGACTATCGGCTGATGTGCACAATTGGTAAAACCATATACTACCTGCTACGCCTAGGCAGAGGAATGGGAAGGCGATCAACGGCATTTATTGAAATGTGTATGGTTAGGGTATTCAAATATGCTGAAGCATGCAAGGGTTATCTCCTTAAGGCGAGGAATGTCTTCGTGGAGGAATATCTAAAGAAAACTGGCTCGTATTTATATTACGACTGGGGAAAATTAGGGAAACAAACCGTGCAACCAACCCGTTTGCTGGGAATTGTCAAACTTCTAGTATTAAACGGTTTTAACCCTTCTCCCACTGGTGGGGTGAGATGTTTATGGAAAGACTTAGATTTTAACACACAGTTGGACAAATTCATTTTATACAAAGCCTAATTTATAATAAAGTTTTACCCTCATGTAACTTATTGAATTTTCTACTGAATGTATAAAGCAGTCATGTACGAGTACTCACTTTTCACTTACAGAAGAAATCACGTTGCGTATAAAAAAACGCTTGTAACACTGAATCTAAGTTGTTGTATGGCAAGGCTATTGTAGAATAAACGAGATCATCAAACTTCCTCTTTTTATTATAAGGTCTCAGGCAAATGGAAAAAAGTTCGGGAGCAATAAATACGCAATTGCTGTTGAGAGTTTATAAAGTACAGTATACTTTAGGAAAAAATATGTTTTAATTATAACAATTTATATTTTCTTTTTATTTGCAGCCCTCAGAAGCAGCGTGCATCTGTCTCTCCGTCTTCGCATTCGCGTCACGTAAATGACGTAGAATAAAAATTCGAAATACAATTTCTGCTGACTGCTTAGCTCCAGTCTATCAATATAGGTAAAGAAAGGTAACATTTATGACACTATCTCCAATTTACAATTTTTTAGGCTATCAATATAAAGCCTAAAAAATTGTAAATTGGAGATAGTGTCATAAATGTTACCTTTATTTCGAAATATGTATTACGATACTTTTGATAATTTGTAGAAAATTTATTCGTATAAACAGACGTGTCAAAAGCAAGAATTCAAAAATATATTTTTGACGTTAGACAGAATTTTAAAAAAGCTTTCAAAAATTTCTGATCTGTTAAATTACATACCGTGCATGCTCCTTTTTCAGATTGCTGCCATTCAGCAAAATGTAAGATTTTAAATGTATGTTTCAAATTAATCGGTATCATTACTGTAACTGCTTAAAAAACTGAGCGATTGATAAAGAATAAACGCATTTCTTACTAATTTACGCTTTCATATTTTAATAATGTAACTAATCTACGTTTAGATAAATTTCGACACAACTGTAATCCCTCTCTAATTATTGATCTTTGATGAAACAAAATCGGGTGAGGGTATTTTCTTCTACTACGAGGTATTTTTATTAGAAGAAGAAAATTCACTTAAAGTGCCTTTTTTTTGTAAAGCTGTGCGATATATAATATTTCGAGTTTTACCACCAGGAGCGAAAATGTACAAATTCTTTCCAGTTCCTACTCTTGAACAAGCTACATACAACTGATCATGTGAAAAGCAAGGAGTTCCTAAATGAATACCAGTAACTCAAATCGATTGACCTTGAGCTTTATTGATAGACATTGCGAAAGCAAGACGCACTGGAAATTGAAGACGCTTGAATTCAAACGGCAGATTATAAGGAACCATGGGAATTCGTGGTATGCATACAGCTTCTCCTTTTGCGCAGCCTGTTAAGGTAGTTGCTTCAATCACATGGGGCATTAGACTTTTCACACAAAGCCGTATACCATTACAGTCTTGGTTTCAGCTAAATTTCTTAAAAGTATTATCGGAGAGCCAACTGTGTACTGGCATTCCAAGAGGTTCTAACGAGTTGAGAAATTCGGTAGTATATTGTACTACTTGGTCAATGACCACATCCCTATCAACTGACTTGTATGATACATCTACTCCAGGTAACTTCCGTTGAATCTGTAAGTTAATCGTATTCACACTTTCATTTTTCGGAGCAAGAATAGTACGTTAACATAGCCATTTGTGGTCACTGAAATACCGTCGAATATCTCGAAATACACTGGTTATGAGAGTTTCTGTTGAATCTACTACATTACAAAAAGTATTTCGTGTTGTGATAAGTCCATTATAGTCGGATCAGCAACTCCTTTTACATCTCCAAGACTAAGTAGTTGTTGAGCAAATTTATTCATTCTGCAAGGGTTTTATTATTAAGAAGTTATATTTGTACTTAGTTTTGGAAAACTTTTTGTGCTATTTTTATTACACTTATTAAATTATCTTCTTTTAACTCTCCCAATAGCATTTGGCTATCTCTTCAAAATTCGAATGGAACTTTGAAAACAGCCTAATACCCTTTCTTACAATCATCGATTGGTACTAAAACTTCACACTACTCCAACATCTCATGTGATCCTCCTCTGCTATTCAGAATGCACTGAGTTCTTAAGACTCCAAACTGACCACCAGTTCCCTGTCAGTTGTTCCGCAGACGCGGTCAGCAAACCACTCTGCTGTTCTGCATGATAGCGATCAGGTGAAGTCTGATATCTACGATGATGACTTCACTGTGATATCTTCTATTGCCCAACCACTTCTCTCGAAGCTCTCCAATACCTGTACCTTTTGACCTCATACACTATTGAAATTCTTACTCCGACTACTGAAGTATATGCAAAATGCTATCATTACACAGTCTCAACATGCTATCAATATTCGAAATGTGTCTCTGAAATTCAATAAGGATTGGACAGTTCAGTTCAGGAGCCTTTTCCACCGAAGTGACAGGTTCAAAGAAGACTTTTAATTTTCTAATGTAAAGAACAACGTCTTTAGGAATTATAGAGATTTTTTGAAATTTTCCTGTTCAGTTATTTACTTCTTTGAACTATACATGTAAAGCCTTAATTATTCATATTTTGCGGTATTATATATTTATCATTTTAACTATTTCTGTAACATCAAAATAAAAACAAATTCTCGGTCAACAGTATATTGTGAATTTATAAAACCTCGGAAGTGATTTCCCTTTTAATATTACGCATTAACGCTTCCCATAATTATCACTTTCTTACCTCGTAATATTTTAGAACATTGATAACCCACGAGCAGAGTCCAGCGGCCGCTTGAGATTTGGCAACAACAACTTCAGGCTTAAATTCTGGGCTCTTCAAGTAGGTCTGCACTGCCTTCAAGCTGTTCTCGTGGATATTGTTTTTGTCAAAATTGATCAAGGAGTCCAAGAAGTTATCCACCTAAAGAAAATTGTTTTAGTATCAAATCATATATATTTTCTATGTTCCATTCTAGCAGTAAAAGCCTTCTGTACTCACCTTACTCATGGTAAGCTTGGCAGCTCTCCAGGACAAATCCTTAGGAATTTTTCCATCCGTTGCGAGTAGCACCATTACGGCAGACGTCACGTTTCGAACGGCTACCGGTGGAGAACCAAAGCTTCTCAATTCCGTAAGGTTACTCTGCAAGATAAATTGAAAAATTATATGACTAATAAGATAGTACCAGGAAAGACAATGTTCATCTTACATTACCTAATTAGAATATAAGGATTCTGAAAACTAAAAATTAAATAAGAAGCAAGAAATTCTGGTTATATTTATATCATTTCGAAGTGTAATGTTATTCTTTACTTTTAGATAAATATTAATAAATCTTCTTCATATAATAGCCCTTATTTAAAATTAAACTTCCCGTTCCCTGCAGGTCGTTATAATAGGGTTCGGCTGTAAATGTAGATGATAAAATCCCACTTTAAATCTAATTCAACGGTTACCTTATTTAGAGTATTGAGGGCTTCTTGAGCAGCCACGAGAGCAGGTTCTGCCCTGGCCAAATCTTCTTCGCAGTCTTTCTGCCTTTTTGAGACTTCTGCATGGATCCGGGAGACTTTCGCTTCTTCTGCTGCCGCCACTGTTTTCTCCCTGATAACGATTTCAGTTTCTTGACCAACTGTTTCTAACAGAGCATCGATATCACTACTTCTTTGTTGCAGTTCTATTTCTTGATCTGCAAGCTGGGACTTCAGGACATCCACCTATTGGAAATAGATTAGGATAAGTAGATTAAAGATAAGTAAATTAAAGATGGTACTGAGATGCATAGTTTTTGCTATCAAAAGCTCTAAGGTATTAAGTATTTGTGATATAATATAGTATATAAAAGAATATAATGCATAAAATGTTTTCGAATTCTAGATTGTGATAAAACGTCAAGTATTTGTTTATCTTTCAGCATAAAAAATGCAATCATACCTAAAAATCACAAAACTCCATACCTGATAGCTTTCCTATAATTCCAAAGAAAAAAAACAAAAATACACCAGCTCAAAGAGAAGTATACTTTCCTCCATGAAATTAGGAAAGGTATATTACTTAGAAAGCATTTCTTACTCTGTGGTCCGCGGACCACAAGTAGACTTCGAAGTCCTGCGGACCTTCTAGATTAAAAAAAAAAAGAAAAAGGCAAAAAATAAAATTTAAATTAACTGATTGACAAGGTATACTAAAACTAACTAATTGCCATTCAATGAAAAATACGAGTTAATTGAACGCTCGAATGACACAGGAATTGAAATGAAATTGGATACAGAAGGTATGGTTCATTTTTGGACCACATTACCAGTGAATATGGAATATAATGAACTGTAAAATGATGTTTAAAAATTATACTTTAATTTGCTTCTATGTATCTTCGTAATAAAGGGTTTTCATTAGTAACTCAAATAAGTACCCAAATTGACTAAATGTATGTGCTCATCTCAGGCTAAAGCTTACAAGCATGCATCCAACATAGAACTGCTGTGCAAGAATCCGCAGACTCATCCACTTCATTTAAGCAAATACCAATATTTCTTTCATGTTGGGAGAATAAGATCTTTATAACTAAACTTTAATAGCTTTGAATTATTAAAAACAAATATAAATTTCTTTAAATAAACTATGTGAGGATTTATTTATTTTACTTAACAGTTATTTTATTTTGAAGGAGCCTTTCTATCGCACTTGCTTTCAACTCCCTATTGAAACTTGAATTCTTGCCAGAATGTAAATGATCTAGCGCGCGTGTATTCAAATGAGGTAAAAAGAGTTTAGGATTTAAGGGAAGGTTTTGAAAGGTGAATTCAGGACCATATTTTGCCTACCTGAAGGCCACTTTTCTATCTTGATTTGCCTAGCGATTAGATTTCTGTGGCGTTCAGTGCTTCTTGCCATTAAGCTTGTTTACGCCGACTTTTGCGAAATCAAAGCCAACGTACGCGTTAATTAACCTGTGAAGCCGTTAGCTAAAATTAAATTTCATTTTAAGTTAGTCGTAATTTTTTTGAGTGAAGCCAAAATTGTTGGCTTTTGTATGCACGAGTGGGTGCTATCTGGGAGCTTGTTGATAAAGTGTTCTTTACATCCTTCTCCTGACTTTCTCGTACTTTAAGAATAAGGATAATTCCCTAAACAGTCTTCTAACATCTAGCTTAGCTTATGATACCAAAGCATAAGAGACGTAATAACTAAACTACTTAATACCAATATAAATTAAGTGAATTATAATTAATTGTACTTTAAAAATATATTGACAATATCATATACTAAAAACATACTTTCCAAGGGGACAAGAGCGAGGCAGGCAGAATATTCTAATTTATAAAAGTGGCCTTCATTTGGAAAAGGTTGAGAAACTCTAACTTAGAGGATTAGTTAATAGTTTTTATTTAGTGTTCAGATGTCTTTCTTAATAATCTCGTAAAGGACTTAAAACACGGCATCAGTTAAAATTTTTATAAAAGCTTTGTTTGAATTTATTAAGTTGAAAATACCAGTAGCAAAATAAAACCAAAAGAAAATTAAGATCTAGAAGTATCAGGATTAAATGTCATGAACAACAGTAAAACTTATACCAGATATCCATACCTGCTCGCTCGTGTCGACCAATTTCTGAAGCCCAGCTTCAAGTCTTCCAATGTTAGCCCTCAGAAAAGAATGTCTCTTCTGCATCAAAATTTTGTACGTCTTCACATGCTGAAGGAAACTTTTAGGCGTTGTTTCATTGTGGCGTCTCTCTTTTCTCAGAAAATTCTTACCGACTTCATTCACGGATCGATAGGCAAATGCCACAAAATCTGCAACTGGTTCTCTTAAATTCGCCTATAAAGCATTTCAAATAATTAAAAAATAGTCAATATACTATACATAAAAAAAAAAATCTGGAAGTTTTCAGATTTTAAATTACGCCCAAAAGAGCGTATATTTTTTAACATTTTGTGTGTTACCTTTATTTATTACATATCATGTTCTTCAAAATTAAACCACATAAAATTCAATTCAACAGAAATATCACAAAATAGTTAAAAACAACAAAACAGCATATCTTTAAAATAGTCTCGCAGAGGTAAAAATATTTTTTACCGTACAGTGTTGCCATTGCTCGCTTTGAAATCGTTGAGTTTGTTAATAAAAAAGTTCGTTAAAGTTTCACACAAATAAATGATAAAACAAATCGAAATTCAAAATTTGAGTTTCCAAGTGCCCGTGTTGGGTTGGAGGACTACATTATTCAAAATTTGATGGCTCTGGATACCGTTGTTTTTTCAGAATGCGAGGAATATTTATGCATTTAAGTAGATTCCGTATTATTTATTAGTTTCGTTAAAATATAATACATAGCGATAATATTTGGTGGCAACAGTTTGAAAAATGAAACGACGTAAAATGCCGTTTTGAGAGTATTAGCACTTTGGGTCTAACACCCCTTTGGGTTAAAAATAGAGTTTGTTAACAATTTGAGGAACTTGAAATTTATAGTGATACTGTAAAACTTGATGTCGTCATGAAGATGAGAGAATTATTTTTACTTTTTAGTTACTTGTTTAAATATTTGATAGTATGATAGAACAACATGCAGGTTAATCTTTTTAAAGCTTTGTAGGGTTTTCCTTATTTTGCATAACAAATTTATTTTAAATTTGATTACCTGTTCTACTTCTCAACTTCCCCTCACATTCTCTCGCCAGGATGTAAATTTAAAGTTAAGTGAAGTGCTATTTAAACTTGGGAATATCTCAGTTTATTCAGAACGTGTTTCGCTAGCCAAGCGCACGTTTCGTTGCTATTTCGCGGTCACGCTAGTAAGCCTCTTGGCCTTATCAGATTAGTGTCACGCCGGTTAGATTCCTGTGAGTCCCATCTCTTAGGCGTAAATTTAACTGCGCTCTTGCACTATTTATTTGAGGTTTGACTTGTATGATATTCTACGTTTTAGTTTCCACCGCAAGTGGACGGTGTTTTGTAACGTACGAAGTCCGTGCCTTTCTGTTAAATTAGTTTCAATTAATAAAGGGTTATTTTCACCCTTCTTCTGTGCTGGTAATTAATTCACGCTTGTGCGAGAATTCGCCAGGTTCATTGTAGGATTTAATTTAGTTTATGTGGAATAACAGAGACAGATCTTACAGCTTAACCCGAATATTATCCTATTTAGTATCTATGGTTCATGTCAATTCGTATGTAAGAGCAGATAATTTTGAAAATTAAGAGCCAGGGGAATAGGGTATAGAACAGTGATAGCGAACCTATAGTACGCGTGCCACAGTCGGCACGCAAAGCCTCATCTGCCGGCACACAACTAAAATATTACTTCCTTAATCAGCTTCTATACCAATGGCGGCGAAACTTTTTGCCACCATTGGTATAGAAGCTTTTTCTAATCACAATAAAATGATACTATGTAATTTAAATGTTTTAGTTTGTTCTTGAACATTTCACTTACTTACTTATCGCATAATGCCACTGGCATAGAGCTATATCTATATCAGCCCAATGCCAGTATATAGATATAAGATTTTCATATATCGCCATAGAAATTATATACATATTTTATTGATCCAATTTTTGACGTTTCAATTGTTTTGGCCAATCATATTACTTGTTACATGACAAAGAATACGCCAAAGTTGAAGCAACTAATGTTTGCTGAACGAAGTCAAATTTATTGAAGACTGCTGCTGAGTTTTAATACTTTCATTGTTAAATAGATTCCCGTTTTCAGATCTAAGCATTTTGAGGTAACTTATAAATGATTCTAATTTAATATCTTAAACGGAATGGCGCGTGGCTATTCCATTTTGGGCAAGTGGCGCCAAAAAGGTTCGCCACCATTGGTATAGAAGCTGGGCAGATTAACTGTAACTTATGCTTAGTAGAATGAACGGTCTATCTGCTGCCAGCCTCTAAATGTGCGTGATTTAAAGCCAGTCTGTAATTATAGAAGACCAGTATTTTCCGTTTGCTGTTCGAGTTTTATAAATGATTTTAAGGGATTAGTTGAGGGGGTGTATTATTTAAAAGAAAAAAATTTTTTTTGGTGAATAAAATACTACGCGGCAGATTGTCTTCTTAGATAACATTACTCCCAATAAATGAATTGACTTCTTTAATATGTAAATTCTAGTTTAAAGTGTAACTCACGAGCCGTGGATAAATAAAGTGTTGAAATATTTGTCTCCCTTTATGTGCAATTTGGTTTTAACCAGAGCGATAACTTGCTGACAGCAAGAAAATAATTTTATGTAAAGCATAAAACAGAATGCGCTGTTATAGCATCTAGTATTCGCAGCTGGTGAAAATGAATGGAAAGTCCATGGATGTAAATATTAAACAAATGTCTAAAATACGTTAATTGCAAATAAGAAAAAAAAAATCTTGAATAATCTTAAACTAATGTTGAACCATTTTGAAGACAGTACAAATATATTTAGTTGCATTTTTGCATTCCATAAAAATATGCTTTCAATTTGATCGATATTTATTTTCCATGCATTCCTATCCGTAATGTTTGCGCCCGCCAGCGGACGAGCGGTAAAGTGTCTGAACACTGGTAGTTCGGCCCGGGGCGATCCAGTTTTCCCTAGAAAGTCCTCCCAGGAAAGCATTCCTCTCCTTAGGCAGTCAGTCCTCGTGTGCTTTGTCCTACTTAAACAAACCAAACCGTAATATCTGCATTTTACTTCATGCATCTGTACTTCAGGGTTGCATCTAATCAACTGCTGTATGGTAAAGAACAGTAATCTATATTTTAATGAACAGCATGACTTATCGGAAGCGTGAATGAACTGAGATAAGTTAATCAGAAGACGGAAGAAACGTGTAATTTTAATTCTTTGTACTTCTACTGAATACCTAAAAACTGCCTTATAATAGTATCTCGTGGTATGAAATGTAGCAGTCATTCAAAACTTCAACTCTATTTTTACGGAACCGTATTTATTTATTTATGTAGTGGTATAGGGTACATAAGCTAGAACAATCGAAATCGATCCATTTTAATAATAAGAGATATTTGCTAGAATATACATACGATTACAAGCTATACAGTAATTGCAAATATTTCGAATTAAAAAAAAAAGTGCTGAAATACGAACTATCAGAAAACACATCACGCATACATCGATTTTTTTAGAACGATCTTTATATTTGTGGTGGTTTCTGTAGTCGTAAAACTTATATTTGATTATGAGGTAAAGAAGGCTTGAGAAAAACGTAGATATAATATATATATATATATTTCAATAATAATAGATCAAATTGTTGTCTGTCTCAGAGAAGACTTCTATTCCTTAAGCAAAATAAAAAAAAAAAAAAAAAATAAGAAAACTTCATACAGATAATTGCACAGTATGCTCTTTAATTAAGGAATTTTGTTATAACAGGCGGTCATGGTAAGGCATCTGCAGATAAACTCTGTGATAAAGACATATTCGGTATTAAAACGGCTTGCATTAATTACATTAATAATTAATATAATATATTACTATTGTAAAATATCGAGGGAGCAGATACTGGTTAAAATGGCTGAGTTTGTTTTTGTATGAGTAATATAGTATTCTAGTTAGATTATTAATGAATAATTTTGATGCATAAATATGGGCAACAGATTCGTTATTTTATTTTAGATGCACATTTATCTCTTGAGTGTGTGTGTGAGGGGGGGGAGTACCTTTCAGGTATTACAAAGTAACGGTTAATTGTAAAACCAATGACAATTCAGAGTTTCATGTTTTTAAACTCTGAATTGTTTTCTGAATTGAATACGTTTAAAGCAAACGTATACAGTAACAGCTTCTATTCATCTTTTTATATGCAGCACGAGTATTGATGAATTATGAAAAAGCCTCAGACATAACATTGTTAGATAATTAGACCCTGAAAGATACTCCTTGAACAAATGATTTCTGTTGCGGTGGAAATATAAAAGTATTGCTGTTAGACAATTTAGGTTTCTTGAAGCCTTGTATTTTTTGTAATTACCCAGCAAAAGTATTAAAAAGCTGTAATTAAGTTGTAAGGATTATGTTAATTTTATTAATAGTTATATTTTAGTTAAAGTTCCTTTCCTATCAAATTCTTAACTTAAACTTACTACTTCCGGCCAGAACGTAGTTTTGGAATCTTGCTGAATATTTAATGAGGAGGAGCTGTATTTAAACCACGAAGTTACTTACGGAGTCGGAGAGAATCAGAGTTTTCTGCCTACTACGGAGTCAGAGAGAATCGTCTGCATTTTTGGCCACTCTCTCTCAAAGCTGTTATTACTCTCGGCCATACTCAGGCCCTTGCTAAGCTTCGTAGTCAAATAAGTTAAGGGGCCAACTCGATTTGAACCTTGATAGCTTCGGCTATACTTCTTTAGTCAATCTTAGATTTAGTTTAATTCTTAGCCTTTTAAGTTCAAGTTCAAGTGCGGGCTTTGCTTGTACACTCCCAGGCGGAGTTTTGTTAAATCTTATTGGAATAATAAAGGGTTAGTTACCCTTCTATCTTGTTGTTTCTTGTCACCGAACTCAAGCGATTATTCGCTTATCAGTTCTTAGATTCTTCACTTCCAACATTAAACATCCAAAGTGAGGAACTCTACAAAGTTATTAATGTAACATTCTTTAACGTAATATTATTATAATATACCTGCAACGTTGCAACAGTAACGACTAAACAGAGAGCTTTTATGCGTAGAGAACTTTGTAAGAAGAATTTAAAACTCACACTTAGAATCGGTAGGTCTTCTAAGAATTTATTACAGACAGTAACGAGGGCATCTTTGGGCCATGGATGGAACCAATCAATGCAAGTACAACTTATGAGCGTTGGAAACTTTCGGCTGCGGGATCGAAGAGTAGAACCAGATGGAGAAAAACACAAAACAACCTGAAAATTGGAAAATTTTAATTGTATTTATACGAAACCACTTTCAGACAAAGACAATTTTCGCAAAGTATCAAAAAATTATTTTCTATGCCTGAGTACATAGCGTATTTATTTACTGAAAAGCATGATCTTTTATAAGCAACAATTTGAAAACAATATCTTTTAATGTGATTTTGAATGAAACACATAATATTCCAGTTCAGTTTGTATATAAATTGTTAGGAAAATAAATCCATCTGTTATAGATATGTACTTTCGATTAAAATGTTTCTTAGAATACGATAAATAAATTTATAAAAATAGTCTCAACACCATGGATGGGATGGTTCTTTAAATATAACATACAAAATTGTAGAGGATTTCCCCTAAAACAAAAATTCTAATATGCAAAATAATTATTGTTTTTTAATAAATTATGCCCATAATCTATTTTACTTGCAACCACATCTTTGAGATTCGCAGACAATAGCGCATTTACATCTATTGAAACTTTTTCTTAAAATTCTGTACCTTATCTTCAAAGACTTTTATAATTGCCCGCAGCCATTTTTTCGGAAACTTTATATAATCGTCTCTATTTTATAAGACTAGATATATCTCTCATAAAATCATATATATCACTGTAACAGTAAATAATTTTAAATGCTGAAACAAATTTATTTAATCTCAGTTTATTGCATAATAAAATTTAAAATTTTATTGAGCAAATAATTAAATCATATATTCTTGCACTTTTATTTGTCTGTTTCACATTTATTAATTGATTATTTGCAAGTAAAATTATAAAATATTTCTCCAGCCTTCTTAGCATGCCTTCGTGGTGTAGTGGTCAGCACGCTTGACGCTATTCGAGAGGTCCGTGGTTCGAGTCCCGGGTAGAGCATTGCTCATTTTTCATCTTTCCTGCTTCGAAATAACCTGTATAAAATAACAGATAAGAAATATTTATAAAGATAAATTTTTAAATGTGTGTTACTAATTTCTTTGTTTAATAGAATCGTCATTCTTAAAATATATCTTATGATCGTAATTTTATAAAATTTTGTTTTAAACTAGCATTTTTAAATGAACATTCGTAATTTTTGAAAATGTCTGTTTCAATGGTTCTTTCTGTGATCAATCTAATAATTAAAGAGAAAAATCCCAATTTGAAACTTCATATTAAACAGCTTCTTTAGAGAATAGGATATTATTTAATCCCCCATTAAATTGCATGCAAAATGCTGTCGTGATAAATAAGATAAATACGGGATATAAAATTTCATTTTCATATTTTAAACTCGTTAATCACATTCAACAGCATAAAAATATATTGATTGAAACAATTTAGCAGGAATTCATACAAAGGAATATATAAGCAACATGAGAAAGCGAAGATAGTGAAGCCTTTGTGAATTAATGATTAATTAACGGATAAAACTGTGTCTTTCTTGCATTACTATGCACGACAAAAACTGCTCCAACAGCAATATAAAGTCCAACAGTAAATATAATTTTTAACGTTTCATTTCATTTCTTTTTCAAAATTTCATTAACAGAATTTGGTTTTGAGCGAAATTTTTTTTTTTCCTTAACTGAACTAAATTTCATTCACAAGCAGAAATTCTAGACAGCAATTCCAAGGTGGTATTGAAAAATTTTTTCTAAAGGATTTGAGATTTTACTCACCTGTTATAACTCGTAATAATGTGTATTTTATTTAATATCCGATAATATTCCGATATTTTTATTAATTTTAATAATCTTTAAACTTTATGCTTCATTCAATAAATATGAATACATTATTATACAAATGTTGTATTCAACACAGAGCAAGGACAATAGCCTCTTCCCACATTATTTCTAATAGCGATAAAGTGCAATAAAGTTGGTGCATTAAAGTAAATAGAATGAAAAAATATTAGCACCTTCAATTTCTTCTTCACTTTATTAATGAAAAAATTCCAACAGTTATCTCTTGAGTCAAATATACCAGCAGATTTGACTTCAGACCGAATTGCAGAGATGATGTTCTCGACTTCTGCTTCCGGAAAAAGATCAGGAATGTCACCCGACGAAAGCAGATCATTGATAAGGACGAGAAATTTTTCATCAGCCACCTGGGCGTCACTAATCATGAAAAGACTGCCAATATTCTTCACACCTGCCCTCAGGTAGAGAGTGGCAATGTCGGCCTGAAAATAAAACATAAACTTAGAAATTAAATCCTAAAATTCTGAGCTTAAATTGGTCCGTCAGTAAATTACACTGAAGGAATACATTGCTTTTGAATTCTCGAAGTTGCACTCAGCTTCGGATAATTTCTACTTTAACGTTTTAACGTAGTTTTAACGTTTCCTATAATATTATCGATGAGTAAATATGATCTTACTGGGTACAGCCTTAAATGGTTGTATTTATGTTTGGTCATAGCTAAGATAATGTCTTACTTAAATTACGTATTAGTAGATTATAATAATTAAAAGAAAAGCTAGGCATAGCTGGAGAATAATGAAATAATTAAAAGAAACAAAATTTCCTTCTTCCCCCAAAAAAGAAAAAAAAAAAAAAAGTTTTTGCTAATTTCTGAAAAATTTTTATTTTACCTTTCTCTCATCTGAAGGGAGAAAATTTTACGAACTTATACATGTAAAATTCTTAAGGCTTCTTGAAGAAAACTTACCTGTATATGTGATGCGCATGTGTATAATTTAGAAATCAATAAACATAAAAGAGTTTCTTTAAGAAACTACTTATTTTGTATGTAATCGCGAATACGCCGAATGAATGTATTACATATTTACTATGGGATTTCCCATTCTTATTCGTCATCATATTTTATATTTTTTTATATTAATCATATTTTAAATTCGAATCTGTGTATGCGTTACAATACTTAACTATCAAACCTGCCAAAAAAATAAATCGTAGATATAATCAAATTAGAAATTTAAAAATCCCATTGTCTCCTCTTCAAAATGTCGTCATTTAAACGTTATGTTTTACTAATTTTATCTGTATTTTGTTTCAAATAAATAAAAAAATGACATAAATCAAGATAAAGCTGCTTGATTGGATATTATTAGCAATTAAAAATTATTTTTATTCTATTAAATTTAAACTTTCACATTGAAAGAAGAACACATTTGCTTAATAAAATTCAAAACATTATGTGGTGAAATCGGCTATTTCATACTACCCATGTGATGTAAAACAGATGGTTCAAATAATTACATTGTTCTGTATATGTATCTGTTGCACAAATTATTCACGAATGTATCGATATGGTACAATGTTAAAAAAGCAGGGTGAACATTTTAAGTTATGTTTTATCAATAAAATTTAGTAAAATGCGAATAGCCATAAAACATATTTTGAAAGTAAGTTTGTTAAAAAATGTGGGTCCAAGCACACGATTAAGAAAAAACTCATATATTTTTCGCACACATTCAAACAACTGGTTTAGTTAATAGAATGTTTCTGTAAAAACATAGCATTCCAATAGCAGTAAAAATGTGTTTTATATTGCTCACTTTGAAATCTTGAATGTCATATTCCGAGTGTAAAGTCGGTTGATGCATATGAAGATTGCAAATGTAAGCAGCCAGTGATGCCAAAGATTGGCGACCACTTCCACCAACTCCAATTAACAAGGCATTTCCCCCAGATTCAAGAATACGTGTAATTCGGCACCTAAAATAAGAGTATGTTGTCAAAAAGAATAATATAAAAGTCATTTATTGCATAACTCATCAAAATTCTGATGTATTTGCCTTCCTCAGCATTCAAGAACAGTTCCACGATTGCACAGTTACGTTTTCAGCTGGAGAAACCTCATTTATTTCCGTTTTCTTACAACGAAATTGTAGACATATATTGCAAAGATAGAGAATGCTATGAATGCGAAACTTTTAGTGAAAGTAATACATTTTGTGATGAAAATAACTAAACATTAGTAAATAGGTAAAACAGTTATCTCTTTCTTTGGCCTTAAACGCCCCCCCCCGTGAAGTAGATATACATATATAGATATATTTGGGCTCAGAAGATGTTGTTGTACGGCATAGTTGATGAAGGAATGCTGATAAACGTTTAATGGCATTTTATCATACTAAGTGCAGATTTTACATGAAGGGTGACGAGGGGGGTTTAGGCGGACCCAACTGCTTCCTGTTAAATTAAGGCATCGATCTGCTGTTAGGTCCAGATGTAGACACACTTCCGCTAATACGATGAAAATCTCATATGGCTATAAGTGGACTAAGAATTGTCTCAGTCGGAGCGCTAGAATGAAACCAAAAATCCAATCTAATATTTCGAAAAATTACACTTTTGAATTCAGCGATTTATATTCAGCGAGAATACTTAATTACCTGACACAAACACGCCTGATACTGCTTGATACAATATGATTTGTAAAAATCTACTTTCAATCTTAAAATGAATGGTTATTTAAATTACATACTTCTGTAAAGAAATAAAGTACACTGCTTGTGAATAAAATTTGATATCATTATTTCCTAAGAAAATAATTATTTTCAAAATTACTTCTCGCTATTTTTTTCCTAAGAGATAATGAACATCGTTTGAATACGTACACATGACGAACAGCATCTTCAAACAATACCAGATCCATAGGAGGGCAAATATCATTATATGCGTCCAAAGCATCTTGTAATAATCTGACAAGTTGGCCCATATCTGTAACTGGTTGATAACAAGAAGTACCAATTCCTTGAGCAAAGTGACAATGAATTGGGATGCTGGCTACCATTGCTTGTGCTACTGCATCCTCCATATCCTTTAAAAATTAAAATTGAAGATAATTAGAGGAATTATAATGAATTAATATCAAACTCTTTTAAAAAAAATAGCAGTAAAATTACTTAAAGATGCTAAGTTTCGTTACATACCATAAAGCTTTTATGACAATAAATATTTTGCTGTAATCAGTAAATGCTGTAAGCAGGTAATCCATGTTGCTTTGAAATTATACTATTATCTAAGATTTTTTGGGGGGGTCAATTATTTAAATCAGTCATTCCTGGTCAAAAAAACATTAAATGAATTCAATATTTCAAGCATTTAAATTGAATGTTGATATATCTGATTAGAAAAATAATAACAGTTATAATTTAGACGCTGAATCTCTTTTTAGAATTTCATGATATGTAATATCATAAATTAGGATATTCGGATTATGTTTATGTTATTTAATATGATATGCAATAATATTATTCAAAGTGTCTGAATTTCGATTATCTTTCTAACAAGCATTAGAAATGCATCTTGACCTTTCTTCCCGTTTTCATTTTATTTAAAGAAATTTATGTTCTTCTAAAGATGTCAAAATATTTTATTTTTACTTCCCACTTTTTAAAACGATCACAATATTGTGAAAGGATATGTTTCATTCAATTTTGCAATAGAAAACTAAAATTCCTTCAGTGGTTATTATGGTAAGTTTTCAATACATTCCTATACTTTTGTTAGTTTGTTATCAGTATTTTCCAGTCATGAATATAAAACTAAAGGCAAGCATTTGGATACAAAGTTAGAAATATATCTAAAGAATAATTTTGCTTTTATTACATAAAAAGAAATATTTTTATAGAGCTATATATGAATATTTTTTAATTTTATGCTCCAACTAAATTGTATTCATGAATTTTAGCAAATGGCGATCGTTTGAATAAAAAGCAGTTAAAACACTTCTTAAGATTCAAACGTTCTCACTAGCTCTTGACTAAAATGTTGGGGGCCTTGTTTCTTTCAGAAGTAACTAGAACTTAGGAACTGAAACTAATATTTCAAAATTCCAAGCTAACAAAGCAAACTTATAATGGTAAACTTAAGCAAATTTATTTGCCAGTATGAAATTTATTTAAAAGATTAAAGGTTATTAAAAAATTAAAGGTTATAATTTACATATAAAACTCCGTTTCGGAAATGTTTTGGAAAAATATTTTACATATTAAGATCTAAAAATAATCCATGTTCTTCTCCCGAAACAGTTTCAAAGGAGTTATGGATTTTGCATAGTAATTAGTTAAGAAAGACATTTTCGCTGATAAACTATTTTTAATTTATGTTTTCTTAAACTATATGTTACCTAAAATCAAAAAACGAAATTTAGAAAAAGTGAAAGAATCAAATTTCTTTTACTCGATGTGTTAAAAAGTAAAGTTGACTCGATTCCTTCATTATATCAATCATTTCTGGAAGGCACAAAATAATAATAGAAATAGTATCTTTAGTTGTCTGTCAGTATAGATCCATTTATCGATCTATATTTAACTATCAATAACAGCAGAATTTGAATTTAAGAAAAGATACTTACTGTATTACGTTTGAGGACGTCAGATAATATTTTGTCAAATTTCTCCAAATCTTCTTCATCGAGTAGTTTGTCGCGGTATACTCGTTGTGACTCGTGAAGCCACAATTGAAGAAGATCAGAACTTTTCGTCAGGCTCTCGCTGCTGCTCAACATCAAACCCTGTAAAAACGAATGTTGGGCAATTATCTCAATCGGGAACATTTGATAGTAAAGTTTAGCATGTAAACCATGCAGTAAAGGTTAGCAAGCAAAGCTTCAAATGCGTTTCATTACGTTTCATGAAGTTTGGTACATTTTAATGAAATATTGTCACAATATATTCGAAAAGCTGGAATTTTATGGTTTATTAAAGGGCAAAAAGCAGTTCAAAAAACTGTCGTTGTATGAATTAAAGACGAAAAGGTTAGATGACATGTGTTAGATAACTTATACAAACAGATAAAAAAGCTGTTCGACAAATTTGCATTCGAAGCCATAATATATAGAATGATCAAAATATCGTTTTCCGTGAAATTAAAAACCCAACTTTGTTTTAATAGTGACTAAATAAAAGAAAATGCTAATCGCACGTATTAGGACTCTCCTTATTATCAGAATTCTCGTGTAAGGGAATTTGTTGATGGTGCTAAAAGAGGTAGGAAAATATGAGAAATTATGTAATGAAAACAAGTCATGCTGAATTATGTGAATTATTTACACTTTTCAATTTATCATCAAGAATGAATACTATATATTTAACAACAGAAAACATTTCGGTTCCGTGCAAGGGTATTCATTACTTGAGGTTAATCTGTTTGGGTTTTCATTACGCAATTGCAAATTTTTTCTTTTTCCATTCAGTGCTTTCAGTAAATCTGCTTATATGTATGTGATGCTGCTGACAAGGATTCCAGTATATGTGAAGGCAGTAATTTTTTTTTCTATTTAAACAACCTCGATCTATATTATAAGTCGGTTGCGCATAATTTTTCCACAATGTCAATTCACACTACTTATATTGCAAATGAGAATGCTGGAAGGTCTACTGGAAGACCGTAAATGAAGTGAGCGAATCCAATCGCATCATCACCTTTAGGGAAATCTGCCGGTCGTACCAATTAAACGCTAGGCATGCCGGTCGGAGCGAGATACAGCCAGAAGTTATGAAATCCAAAACGGCTTTCATAACTGTCCTAATTACAATTCTAGAATGACACTTTTAGCATCCTAGGATTGTGGGGAGGGAGGATTGTGTGATAACGAGAGCTGATTTTGAGCATACCTATAGGCTCGCTATTTTCCATTTAGAACCACTAATTCGCAACTCCTGGATGTGTAATGACCCGAAATACCATTTTAAGAAGGCTGTTGTAGATTAGAATCAATTGTCTGCGTCTGATGTGGCGCTTACTGTTAATTCGTGGACGTTGGCAGACAAACATACTCTAGATTAATAGTCGTGAAGTTTGCATTGTATGGAATGGACCCTTGTCGTGTTCAGCGATAAATCAGCGCTTGGCTCAGTTGACGGAAGGATTGATATGTAAAAGAAGTTTAGCTAACGCTGTTACTATGAAGTAACATACATTCGTCAACTGGGCATTATCATATAGAGAGCTAGTGAACTAACTATACAGCACTTTAAGACCGAATTTAGCTAATCTATGTAGCATTTTAACAGCTTCATGGTATAACAATGACATTATGGACATGTTGCATTTCTAGTGTTGCTGTGTCTGTCGGAATCATTTTTCCAGATAATGATTGCGTAGTGTCAAAGTCTTACATTGACCAGAAACCCTTTCTTCTATTTCAACTCCAGCCTTTTCTCCAATTCCAGTTCAAATCTTTCTCTAATCCCAGGTTCAGCCTTTTCTCCAATCAAACACATAGAGGACAGTTTAGAATGCCGGTAGTAACCATCTGAAAATTGGCATGAATTTTCTGAGCAAGTGCAGAAGGTGTGTTAGAAAACTGCGCAAGGCAAAATTCGATACTTGTATGAGCTCACGCCGGTACGAATAATTTTATGTATTACCATCAGGTATTACTTTAATATGTAATGGCTCTTAAATCCACGTTTGCTTAATGAATGGGTTGACTGTTAATAGGCTCTTTTCCTCTCTTACTCCTTGTTTCTTTATTACTTACGTCAGATATTACTATGCTAGAACATTTTTTCCAAATGCGCAAACTCCTTAATCCCCCAGCTTTGTATATCTATATAGCGAAATAGACTAAAAGAGGCTTCTTCTGAAATTTTCATTTCTAAATATAAGAGTCGTTCAAATGAAAGTGGCACTATAGTCGGTTTGAGAAATGGTTTAATGATATTAATATAAATCAGTATACAAAAGAAAGAAGAAATACAGGCGTAACAGACAGGCTGTATGTTGAAGCAAGTGTCCCAGCGGTCAACGAGACGACGGATACCATGGGTGAAGAACCTCCAGGGTTGGTTGTGGAACCAATTTTCAACGGCAGCTTGGATCTCATTATTGTCGGCAAATCGTCGTACCTTCAGAGATTTCTTGAGCGGACCGAAGATGTGGTAGTCACATGGCGAGAGGTTTCGGCTGTAAGGGGATATTCGAGAACCTTTAAGCGGAATTGCCGTAACAATATTTGGCATGCCACAGCCACATGGGAACGAGCATTATCACGCAAGAAGATAACACTGCGTGACAGCATGCCACTTCGGAGGTTCCTGATATTATGGCTCAGTTTCTGCAATATAGCACAGTAAATAGCAGCAGTGACAGTCGTGCCCGTAGGTAACCATTCCAACAGTAGTGGGCAATCGTCGTCAAAGAAGTACGTTAACATGACTTTACCAGCTCTAGTGGACGTAAGCGCCTTCTTCGGGAGTGGGGATGAAGAGGTTTCCATTCCATGCTCATACATTTGTTGGCTAGATCAAAATGATGGCACCATGTTTTATCAGCGGCAGTGATCCTTGAAAGGAATTGATTCCCCATGTCATGGTACCGCCTAGGCTAGGGTGTTGCATGGAAACAGATATACGATGACTCTTCTGCTCCTCAGTCAAATGTTTTGCCATCCATTGCGTACAAAACTTGCGGTATCGCAACCTTAAGTACAGTACTATGTGCACACTTCCTATGATCACAGACATTTCCTTCGCTATTTCTGGAGTGGTGATTCGCAGATTCATTTTCAAGACACGGTCCATATCTGCAACTGCTACATTTTCCACTGTTAAAAATTGCACGACCACGCGTTGACACCGTTTGGAGGCATCCATGATGCAAACGATGCCTTTTAACGTGCTCCTACGCTATCACAAAGGCATAATTACAATTAATTTTTCTGACCTGACGATATCGCATGCACTCTAAGCTCTTTGCGCCATCTATAGAGGCATGTGCAGTCCTCTTTCTCTTCAAATGGCAGAGTTGTTACAGCAATGCCACTTTCCTTTGAACGACTTTTATAATTTAGGCAACATTGTATATATTTTTAGGTTTAAATGATATATATGCACATGATAAATATGTGAATATTTACAGAATTAAAAACATACTAAATATATAGAAGCATTGAAAATTTAGAATTGACATTAACAAGTAGATCAATCATGTTATAAGAAACAATTTCATGCATTTTTAGTTTTTTGTAATCTATGCATTTGTACGCAGGTTACAAATAACATGTAGATGTTAAAATGACAAAAAATATTTAATAGACATAGAATTATGTTTCATACTGAAAATATACTTTTAGATCCAAAGTTCAGAATCCTCATGAGCAGATAAGGAAACAGCTTCCGGATTTTAATTTATTGGAATTTCAACTTACCCTAAATACATTAGAAACATCTCTTAAATTGAAGATGTAATGAAATTTAAGGGCAGTTGGATGAAATGTTATGTTCATGCGTTTGTGCAACGATACTGCCAGTCGAACTATCTGCTGTTGGACTGAAGCTCGAAATTCTTCTATTTCCTCTTGCGATTCGCCGGAAGAAAAGGTCCGACGCAGATGTTCTTTTAGCTGAAGACCAAAAATTGTTTGCATAGTATCTGTAGTTGGAGATGGAACAGACAGGACACAGAAATGACGCTGTTCAAAATAAATACATTAATAAATTAGTGGACGTAAGATAAATTTTAACTTCAAGTTAGCCTCTAAAGCCTTTCCATTTAATTTCGTAATTTTCTATTTTGATCTAAAATATAGTAACATATTTACAATTAATTTTTTTGATGTGTTATTTTTTCTGAATTAGTAGTTTCCTTTGTCACTGGTATCATGTGCTGGCTCACGGCGCTTACATAACAAAAAAAAAAAAAAAAAAAAAAAGGCGAATGCAAATTCTTTGACCACAGGTTATTTATAGCAAAATTTTGAGTACCCAATAATGATGACAAGATATTACTTTATTATAACAGTGTGTCGAGAGAAAAAAAGAACTTCTCCTTTATGAGTATATAGAAACAAGAGTTTTGCAAGGTATTTTAAAATTCTAATCTTTTGTTGAATTATAATTTAATACTGACTTCCGGGGACACATTGGGTTTGTTATTATTCCTTCCTTTATCATAGCGAAATCATTTTACTTTTATTTTTACAAAAATACGCCCACTTTAGTAAATTTAACTCTGTATTCATGTTTAACAGCAAGTTACTTCTCAATTTCAACATACGCATACCATATAAATATACATCTAATAATAAAGATCAATAAAATAACCGAAAAAGACTTGGAAATTAAAGAAATCAAAACTTAACTTTATTTCTTCCTTGTACGAAGTAAAAAGGAAGTATTGTAATCGCGAAAAATTTCGGGTATCATATTTTAAGGAATATATCCATTTTGACCGCTATCGAATGCAATTTAATGATGTTTTGCGTGATATGTACGTAAGGACAGAATAAAAAACTCTTTTCCCCTAAAAAAAGTATAAACCTGATTTAAAATGAATTCTGAAGAGATTTTTTTTCGTGGCGGCTGTACGTACGTTATGTATCTCGCATAACTCAAAAATGAGTAGCCTCAGAACGTTGAAATTTTGCATATAGGACTGCTGTAACATGTAGATGTGCATCTCCCATTTTTGTTGCAATCGGCTGCAGTAAAAGTATTATATATATATATATGTAGACTAGAAGAGAAACACGCTAATGTGACAATCAAAATCGTAAAAAACCTGTATTAGCGTAAGTAATGAAACACTCAATCAATTTCGGGGCAGCTAAAGGTCCTCTTATCAAAGAAAGAAATACCGAAAGAGAAAATAAAGGGGAAGTAAAAGTAGGCGCCAGTGCAACTCTGATTAAAAATCCATTTATAACCACGTGCAGTGCGATAAGGACCACGTTTTCTGAGCCCTTCCCCTTTTTTTCTTTTTCTAGGTATTTCTTTCTCCTGAGAGGACAGACCTTTGCTGCCTTCAAAAATCGATTGAGGTTTCATTAACTTACGCTAGTACAAGGATTTTTAATTTTATTATTATGTATACTCTACAGGGCAGTTCTTATTCTTATATGTTTTTAAATTGTCTATATTTTGCTTTAAATATGATTGAATTATGTTGTTCTTATCTTCCGGTTAAGGTTGTGGATTTACTTAACTCGCATGCAATAATTGTGGAATTATCAACAATTTAAACGTTTTTCGAGGGCGGCTAGGCCTAATCTTTTTTAGCATGGCAGCCATGTTTGTTACATTTGAAACTTAGCAGAATAGTGGATTCGTTGCCAATTTACAGAAACTAAGCTTCCCAACAACAAAGAATCGTCTTCTTTTATGATTGCGAATTAAATTATGCTTAATTCATTCTGGAATTATTAATTAAGTTATTAGCTTGTTTTGCGTAGAAACTTTAATTTTAATTGTAATAATTGTTTTAACTGTACTTGGTGTTTTATGGTTTTCTATATCTTTCGATTTTTAATGAAAATATTTTGAAATTTCATGTATTTTTGCCTTGCCGCAAAGTAAGAACTGAATTAATGAGTAGTGCATGCGCATTAGGTAAGCGACGCAGAATTGTCTGTGAAAAACTGTTTCTTTTTAATTTGTTTAATTTCTTTTATATATCATTTTAGATTTATTATAGTATTTGAATAGAATATATGGTAATTCTTCAGATGATATAATTTTTATGCACTCTGAGTTATACCATAAATGAGATGTAACGTTGTTTAGTGAACCTAGCGCCGAAGTGTAGCTATGGTAAATAAATATACTGAACTTTTAAGAGTGCATTTATCCTGCTGTGGTTTATGCCCTGTCGACGAAGTAGATTTACTTTAAAATTTGTTAACTGTTAATTAAATATGTTTAAATGAACATATTAGGAAATAAATGAACAGGAAATGAACAGGAAAATAGCGTATAATTTAATATTCCGTACAAGGAAGTCATGGGGTGTACACATCAGATTTTTCTTATTTACGTACCTGCCTGTGTGCATGTGTGATGTGGAATTTTGAGTCTGACTTTGAAGATGCGGATCATGATGATAGAGCTAGATGGTTTTGTAAATGAAGATGCTAGAGCACTTTCACTCAGATAATTTATTATTTAAACATGTTTAAACAGTATTTAAGCTCACGATGCTGTAATACAACCGTCACGACGAGAGCACTACCTTTTCAACAGTTTAAAGCATAAGTTTCACGTATTTACAGCGTTACAATTAACTACAAAAGGCAGCAGATACTCGTCAGCTGGATAAATGCAGGCGTTAGAACAGCAAGATTATATTATTGATATTAGATTAAATATACTTAAGTAACTTTATTCTTTAATGAAGGGATATAATATCACCTTATTGTTACTTATTTCTAAACGTTTCAGTTAGAATACAACTTCTTAAAATTTAAATATCAATTTAACCCTTCTGCTGCAGGGTGATTAGACATTTATCGGAGCAGGAATCATCAAAAATCAGTAATTCCCTTAGTAGGATTCGAACTTCAAGCCTTCCAGTTGCCAGCAGGACGTGCTTCTGTTTACAGCTCTAACGAACACGTTAAGGAAGGAGAGAATTCCTTATATTCTTCCCACTTAAAGCCTAACTGAGTAGAAGGAGAACCCAGTCGCCAAATACAGACGTCAACGAATCATCGTATAGTACATTTTAGTCAGGCTCTATTTTATAGCAATTAGGGTTTTTCGAAGTCGGGAAACTAGAAGTATCAACAGTGACGTCGCAGGGATTCAAACTCCGGGCACTGAAATTGCCAGCCGGACATCCTTTCAGTTACATCACGAAGGCATAAGATGAGGAAGGAGAAGTTTCTTATAATGTAAGTTCCTGCGTCATTTGCATTTAGTAATATTCATGCAATCACCTATAATTTTGAAATGACTCATTTCAGAAAGATTTGTTCCAAGCATGTTGCTATTTTTTGTTTAGAAAGAGGAAATAGTCAAGTTAAAAAAGAGAATTCTTGTGTTAAAGACACAATTTTATCCTATTTATATACAAATAGATAGAGAAAATGAGGAAAGTAAATGAAAAAAGAGAAAAATTAATTTTTTTAATTTCTATAGTTTATTTCCATAAAATAATCGTAAACGAGAGACAGAAAATAAAGGAAAGTGAATAGGCTAAGTACAGCATAATTTGAAAGCATACGAATAATTTTAATCCATTTTCTTTCAATATGGAATGAGTACTAGATTAAATACTCTCAAGTCTTGCTATGTTTAGAATGTTCATTTTATGCATGATGTCTTTGGATAGAATATGATTTCTTTGGTATTAAACAATTTTGCAGTTTATTCCCCTTTAAATTAGAGAACTAATTTCAAAAGATAATAAAATAAATTGTTAATCATACAATTTTCTAGAAATGATTTACCTCTCGCCATATCTTATGCAGGTAACTAAAATAAGAAAATATTATAACTGCACTTATTTTTCATTCTTTGTCTATAATTTATCTGTCCATTAACTTGCGAAATGATTCTATGTTATTCATACAGTGAAGATGATAATATATTTTGGTCAACACGATGATTCAATACCATGATGAAATATAATTTTCCTGTTAATTTTTATCCATATTTTTAACAAATAAATTTTAATGATATTTATATATGAATGCAGATGCCATATTAGCCTATTTTCTATATATAGCACAATAACTGTGCAATGATAAACCACAAAAATTAGGTAAGTAGTAATAACTGCATATGCATAGTCTATGCAGTTATCCTTGAACACATATTGAAAATGTAACTTCCCGTAAGCTATTAATTTGAATATACCGTTTAATAGTATTCTGAAGACAATGTATGTGTGATATAATATCCAAACGTTGTTAATGTACAGACAGAAATGCATAAACTACTTCCAGAAATTTGTAATTTTGAGGTTGTTTCGGATCGCGAAAACATGTTACGTAACTTTAGACTATGCTTGAAGTATTTAAGAAGGAAAGAAAATTTAGTCTAACTTTATTAAGCTTTAGGAACTTTATCAAAAATGAGTTACATAGAGAAATTCCTAAAGAAATTATTACAAGATTAAATAGCTGAATGCATGATAGATAAAATTCAATGAATATAAAATTCCTTAATATAATATGACGAATAAAAAATTAAAATATTTTTCAGTGAATATAGCGCAAAAATATATATAATTTTGAAAGTTAAGATTACAAAATATTATTGTACTAAGATAATCCTTTGCTAAATGATTATTGTATTTAGATTTCAGAGAAGACAATTTTTATTTATTTTTCATATTCTTTAAAAGAAGCGCAAAGTACGCACGAACAAACATTGCTGCAGAAAGATTTTATGATAAGAAGTAAACGAAACCTGTCAATAGTACCTATAAGTTTACATCTTTAAAAATGGCATGATTTTCACAGTTCATTATTACCTGCAGTCTTGGATTGATAGTGCAGCTTCCTGCAGTCGGGCACATGCAAACTACATACTGACAGCCGGTAACTTCCTTTGGGGTCAGTTTATTACGATCGTACCAATGCCCATAATCAAGATGCTGTCTTATTATAGTGTGAGGTTGGCACGTTCCGTACATATCCACCTAAGAAAATAATTCAAACAATACAATACACTTAATACGGCTCATTTAACGAGCCATATTTGTTAGATTCTTAATGTATCTCTCTCTTTGTGTGTGTGAAATAAAAACAGAAATATGTTGTAATTATAAGCCACGAAACCATTAAAAAAAACATCAAATGAGACTTTTCAATATTAAATGCAAAATGACTCACCTCAGGTATGTTAAAATCGTCAATGAAGTATATAATCTTCTTCTGTCCAGGAGGACCGTAATTCTTGCCTACTTTCTTTTCCAGATGCAATTCCATAGCCCGCTGCACAGTTTCAGATGTAGTATAGAAACTGAAGGGAACGTTTACTATCACGAATGTCGATTCTTGATCCAAACCACTGAGGGTGGATTGGACTACAGATGTCTTTCCACACCCGCTTGCTCCAACTAGCATTACAGGATGTCCCTTAGTGATAAGTAGATCCACCATATAACTGATTCGATGAGTCTCCTTTGTTGGTACTAATGTGTTCTGTAAAGAAAGTTTTAATTAAAAAAATAAAATAATAGATAGTTTAGCTCAACATTGTTTTAATTATTTTTACGCTGAAGCTTATTGCAAATAAATGTCGCAAAAAGTATCTGCTTCAACGTACATTTCTCAAAAACATAAGTATCATTTAAAACGATAATTCAAAATAATGATAGTGGGAATTAGTTGACCTGAAATATAATATCCCCAAAGCTTCAGCTTAGCCGTCGAATGTGAAGGCTTAACTTTATTTTCAATAAATTCTTAAAGTAAATTCTGATTTCAGTTATTAGCTGATAGATTCTTTTGCAGTAAATAGTTTAGTACAGGCTTTAAGAAAATTAGTAATGACTAATATGAGTTTTCATGGTCTGTTATGCATGATTTTAGTCACTTGTGCAGTTTTTATTTCGCATATTGGGTTAATATACGGCAAAAATAGTTTCAATAACATTAATTTTTAAGTATGTGTCCAACACGATCGCTTGCAATCCTTACCTGAAGGGATACGTCTAATGATGGTTGATATTTCTGTAGTTTCCTTGTCCAAGGATAAAATCTCTTGCCATCTATATAATAATCAAAGACAGTTGATGTTTCTTGGCCGGAGGTTTGAGTAGTGGGAATGGGAAATTTAACTGATTTAAATTCTGCCAGAAACCAGTTAGAAAACTCCAGACGTCCATCTGCGCCATTCGTCAATTCTAATGCAGATCCAAATGCCCATACACAACAGAAGACGAAATATAGCTCATAGAGTTCGTTGGGGGAATCTGATGGGGTGTTTTCTGCTGTCAAGAAACATTCCAAAAGGCAGCAAAGTGTCTGAAAAGGCAACATATATGAAATAGAAACTGATTTTTTAAGGCTAAACATGTTATAGACACATAATAATAATTTTAATTAGTAATTGCATAATATCTTTTGATAAATCTAGGATGCAAATGAAATTAAACAATATGACTGCATTTCTTATTTATACAAATATATTCAGAATAATGACAAATTGTAGTGCAAAATTATCTTTCTAAACCACCATTTTCTATTTAAAGAAACATGTAGTTCAACAATCTAGTCTCGCAAAATGAAAATTCGCTGTATAATATAGAATTATTGAAACGCATATGGTGTTCTGAAAAAATTGCCATACCTATCGCATTGGGAAAAATTTATTTTTTAATTGCGTAAAACAATTAACTACTTTTCTTGCATTTTATTAATACTTAAGACGATTGCCTTTTTTGCTGTGCATGTGTGTCCAAGAAAGTTTATTTTTCGCCATGTATGGTGCTATATGTCATCTTTGGAGATACGACAGAATAGGAATAGGAATTCCGGATACCTGAAATGTGAGATTAGTGATCATCCATTGATGGTACCATTCCTGCCAGGGATAGTCGGAGGATTTAGAAAATTAGATAAAAGGGGTCCAGGCGAGAGTTTTCTGATAAATAGTTGTCCACATTCGATAAATACCTGCGATAAACTGCTGGTTTAACGGCATGAAATTTCAAATAAACCTATGACAAAGTTGTTGTCCACTAGCACGGCTATAATCACAGTTAGATAAAAATACTACGTGTGCAAACATCATAAAATCCTTACATTCATCTTGAAAGGTACCGGCAACTATTTGAGGCCACATACGTCGTAAAAATATTCATTAGAAATATTATTTTCAACATTCAGCATGTTATGCAAAAGCATTGAAAAGTAAAACTTTACTAGCAAACTGATAAAGTACAGAAATACATATAAAGCTTATAATTATTGCAATATGTAAATACTTAGGCATGTTATTTTCACCTCTAATATATTCGTAAAGTATCGTAAAGTTTTATGCAAATGAAAAATACTTAATGAACAGTTTTGATATTAAAATAAAAAATATTAAAACGTCCACCCAAAATGAAAGTTTGCTAAGTTTGCTGTATAATATAGAATTATTCAAAACGGATATGGTATTTTAAAAAAATTACCAAATATACAACACTTAAAACATTGGGGAAAAATATTCTTCTTTAATTGTCTGAAACAATTCACCAATCTTCTCGCTTTTTATTAGTATTTAGCTGTATATGTATGTCCAGAAAAGTTTCTTTCTCCCCATATATGGCGCAGTATGGGCACCCCATATATGGCGCTCTAATATGAGCGTCCATTATTTTTTCTTTTACAAAAGAAATCCGCAGAACGTTTGCAAAAGAAAAACTATAAATATAAATATATAGTATAATATATATATTTACATATATCCATGCATACATATATAAGAATAAAAGAAATATTTTTTACTTTTAATTAGTTGTTTTACTGCCCATTTGAAAAAAAAAAAGAAAGGAGCAAAATTCCGTTGCATCCTGTTAAAAAGTTCTTTGTTTGATTTGAATCAAATAATGTAGCAGCTTAAACATTTGTAAGCATTCTGCTTCATTACTAGAAAGCTTAATTTCTAAAACAAGCATTTTCTTTAAAGAATAGCTGTACTATATTGGTATCTTACCAGGGTTACCTAAAATTTTCCGGACTTAGCGAGTCTACTTATATTTTGTTTATTCTGCTTTGGCTATAATAACCTTAAAATAGCTTTTTTGGGAACATATACAGTGTTCTCGTCGGCTTTTCCATGTCTCCAAAGAATTGTAGATGTCATTTTCTTTCAAACTGTTGATGATTGCTTGCGATTTCTGCTAAACGCTGGGCACAGTTCTAATACATCTTCAATCAAAGAAATCACAGGAAACTAGGTAGAGGACGAGGAAAGGTTACCATAACAGTATTTTTCCACTCGTTGAATGTTCTTCAGTAATATGTGGGAGGAAACAATAAACGCAATTTGCAACACTGCTTCAGAAATTAAAATTTTCTGTTAAAATATCTTCACAAACTTCAGAAATGATATTAACCCTGCCCAAGACTTCATGGACTGTTGGGCGAGGACTTTTTCAGGTGAACTTTTAAAGGATTGTTTAGTATTTCCTGTTGTGTTGATCGTGCTTGGTCGCCAAACGGTAGTCACTTTCTAACGAAACTCCACCAACTCTAAAATATAACTTTCAAAAAGTAATCTAGTTACCTGGTTTAAAATATCATCACCAAATGCCTTACGAAGCATGTCAAGAATTCCGATAGCAGGTTTACACAGTTTCAAGCAAATTTTGGTGCTAAAATGTTTTTTCTGTCTATTGGTAAAAACGCAACACAAATAAAAAATAAATAAATAAATAAAATGAACTCATTAAAACATTCGGTACTTTTCCGTTTTGCCGGCGCAGGCGATAAAATCGCCGATAACGATACAACCGATGCCGAAGGGAATATCCTCGTTGGTAACCTTTTACGCCTCATTTTCAAAACAAGTCGCAGCTATTTCTTATCATATTGATTGTTTCTTTCAATACTGGCATACAATTACATAGATTTTTTTTACCAGAAAGTTCAATTTTATGCCCTAAGGACATTCACGGGCGGTAATTAAGTCAATTAGGATGCAATCACACCGCTCACTCGATGACGAAAATATAGAAAAGGCGAAGTCAAGGGCGAAGTTAAATTCAGCAATTCTAATGAGAATGCACTAGCAAAGTAAAGCATTGCGGTTTTACATAATTTTTGACTAAGCTATTCGTATGACTTGAAATAATTCTTGCATTTAAACTTGTATTCCAAATTAAGATTTAACTTGAAATTAATGTAGATAATTGAGAGAATTGGATTTTTGTAGCGTAGTTTACGTGAGATGAGATCACTTGGGGTTACGGGATATGAACCAGCGAATCAGGATGTTGTACCATGAATGCATACTAAATTTTTAAGTTAATGTCTTTTTACAAATTTATTGACTTTTTTACAAAATTTTAAACGACATTAAAATGCTTATACCTTCAAAATAAAAAATTCTTAGAACTAACATTTGTCAACATTTTTTTGTGTGTGTACTGTGTGTTTTCGCCAATAAAGTCTGCTTGGCGTGATTTGCGTCAGCGAAACGGAAAAGTATCAAACATTCATGTTAACGTCTCGACATTAAGTGGCAGGATAACATAAGAAGATTGTGGAATTATTTATACTATTTTTGTCTCTCTACTAAACAAGTAAGTCTAGGAATTTTTCGATAGGTGAAGTACACTGCTCGACATTGAAAATGCAAAACCAAGAAGAAGTGGTCAGAAATTTATGCAAATTTTAGAGTAGACGCACGTCACTGAGTTATGCGAATGATGTGAAATGCGCAGCTCTCCGACGCACGTGGAGTAAGATATAGGGGAAAGAACTGCAGAATGGGAAATATTCGTGTTGTTTTCTGCCAGACGAAGTATCGAAGAAAGTTTTTTTTGTCTCTGAGTACGTGTAATTGGAGAGAATGCCGGCCCGTCAACGAGCACTTCCAGAGATAGACGATTTTGCGAGGGGTATGGGATCGGACTGAGAGGGCGGTTGGTCCTTACGTCAATCGCAGCTGATACCCATGGATACGAGCACGGTTTCATCGGCTATGGTGAAGGTTGGAAGGAATGGGGGAAGAAGAAGGTGCAGGTGCAACAGAGTGATGTCAGCACGCGTGGTTCGACGCATCCGCCGATAAGCTGTGGCGGTCCCGCAAGTCACTTGTACCGCGATTCTGCAACATGTGCAAGATAATATGGATATTCCCGCTCAATGGGTCATTGGCGTCCGTTAAGAAGACTGCCATTGACCCCACAGCATAGACGCCAACGTTTAGAATGCTGCCGGACTGGGGCGATGTGGATGACAGAATGGAGAAACGTCGTGTTCTAAGATGAGTCACGCTTTTATTTATCCAGTGACACTCGCCGCATACGTGTGTGGCCTCGACGTGGAGACAGATCTAATCCGGCAGTAACGTGGAGCCCCTAGCCGACAACGTGGCATAAGGTTTGGGTGTACTGCCGATTCAGGTCACCCTGTTCGATTCGGGCACTATGCGGCCCGCGATACTTGGATATACTGCGGCCGGTAGCAATCCCCTACCTTCAGGGGCTGCCTAATGCAATTTTTAAGCAGGTAAACGCCCGACCAAACAGTGCTCGATCTGCAACATGCTCTTAAGCTACAGATTCTCCTGACCACCAATCGCCGGACCTGTCACAATCGAACATGTGTGGGATGTGATTGGACGCCGTTTGCAGACTCGCCCCTGTCTCGTTCAGAAGACGAACTGTTGCCAAATGGTTGAAAGGGAATGGAGAGCCATCTCTAAGGACCCATCCGTACTCTATTGACTCTAGCCTAGAGTGTTTTTCGTGATCGCTGTCAGCTATGCCCACTCCTACTGAGGCCCGAACCATTCTCGCTCTGTATTCTGACTAATCATTTTGAAATAAAGATCACTTATTGCTGCTTACTGTCTCTGTCTTTTTTCCAAATTTCTTCACTTTCTGACCACTCCTTCTTGGTGTTGCATTTTTAGTGTCGAACAGTGTATGTTCAAGAAGGTTTTGTATTAATCCTGTCAGACTTTAGAGTACCGATATGTTAAAATGCTCACGAATGAAACTTGAAGAGCAGTTTCGTGCGAAATGTTAGAAATTTATTATCTGATGACATTTGAAGTAAGGTGCGTCGGATTATACTTTCTTGCTCCAGCAGCGCACCTGTATTTTTGAAAAGTAATGCTAGAATACTCTTTGATCTTGATCATTTTGGACAGTTTGAATTTCCTGAAAGTGTTGATATCGTAAAACCATCTTATAACAGAAAACATTTTGGTCACATGGTGAGAAATCTGGAAAATAAGGTCGTAATGGCATGACAGACATTTACTTTCGATCAACGAAATCCAAGGCTCCTGCTCAAAATGTTCTATTGCACTGAATGATTAATTGGTGATTGGACTCCATGTACACTACGCTACAAACTACGTTTTCTCCAATGCCACTTTACACATTTTCTTTGTAGACAGCAAACAAATGCATTTCAATAATCAAACTGATTTATTGCAGATGAACTTCCAGGACATGGCTTAACTGCAAACATCTTGAAAAGTAAGTTGCATTTGAAGTCATTAAATTATAAAGTTATCAGGCATAACTAGCTGTCTGAACGTTCATGACATTTCACACTTTTGATAGTTTTGTTGATAAATGCCTTCAGTACTTATGAACGGTTTATTTTTAAGAATTTCAAACCTAAAATGCAATAAATTTTTTAATGGAAATACTAATTCTTACGTTTTAATGTAACGCAAAAGTTGCAAAATTGGAACGTAAAAAGCTAAAACTTTTCGAACCTGTACGTAGCAGATGTCCGGTATAGGTAGAGCTGTTTTGAATCTTTTACTGAGTGCTTCTAAACATGGTGGAACGTATTTGTCAAAGAAAATTATTAGATTTGCTTTCTCAGATTGGATTGTTCTTCTTTCAATCCAGCTGACAACATACGGGTTCCAACCAACCTCTGAAGAATCTAGATATAGGACACCACCCCTGGAAACAGTAGCAGGAGTGGCCTTTTCCAAAGTCGAAACTTCAAATACGAGCCTCATTGTAGGTGTTAAAGAAATACGCTCTCTGCTCGCTAGAGTTAGCACCTGTAAAAGACAGACAAGCAGACTTTTGAATTGCATCGAAACACTTTTCTAAAACCATATTATTCCAAAATGCTTAATTTTAAAATATTTAATTCCAGTTTACATTCAATATTAAGTTTTGCACATTTAAAAATATCTTTAGAAAATATTTTACAAACTTTATTTCAGAAATGGATAAAATTTAGTGTTAATATGCTAATAAATTGTTAACTCTCATACAGTCCATAAAATAATATATTTCTGAATTCAGTTTCTCTAATGTAAACGTTTCATTAATCATTCAAATATCGCTTTGATGATATTACTCTCCAGCGTTGCCATTTTTCGGTAGTCTACTAAGCTCTGTAATTTACTATGAATCATCACAGTTTTATTTAAGTTAAATTGTAATCGAAAATACTACGCTTCCTTCCGGATTTTGAAACAATATAAATAGCTGTAATTTAAGATATATTTGCTTAAATTAGACATACCCAAAATTTCACATTACCCACTATGTAGGTCCACATTATGTGCATGTGACCACCAAATCAGCTTTCACGGTTATTTTCATTGACTATTTTATATATTATTTTGCATTAAATAATTATCATTTGATTTATCTTATTGACTTCTGAGAAGTGAACAAAGTAACAGTTCTTTGCTGGAAAAGAGGCAAATTCTGCTTGTATAATACGTGCTTCGGCTGTTAAGGAATATAACTTGAAAAGACACCGAATATGCTCGTCGAAACGAGCTGCAGCACAAGAAATAGATTGTACACGAACACTGAATTTTCAGCATCCTACATTCGATTTCCGCGAGTTTGATAGTGTTTTAAAAGTTAGACTTGTAAATTCTGAGGAAAGGCAAAAAACTCAAAACCTCTTTTTTATAAGGAATTTGTAAAAAGTTGTCGTTTCATAGGTGAGGAATGCGTGCTTCTCCCAACAAAATAGGTATCTTAAAAAATATTAGCTTTTCTGGGAAAACTATCATGTTAAGAATGGAGTAACTAACTGGGAATATGGAAGAATCTCGAGAAAAGAATTAAAGTGTCGCATGTTACTCCTTGGCGCTGAATGAAAGTATAAATTTGGCTTCAGGCATACAACTAAGAATTTTGTTTTGTTTGTTTGTATTTTGGAAGTTTTGAAGAAGTTTCATTCCTCCTATCCATGAAAACTGTCAAATAACTAAGTGAGTCAATATTCGAAGACAACAAAACCGACTTTCAGAAAAACACTAGCTGAGCATTGAAGATTTTCTAGGCGTGGCGAAAACTGAAGCTACAATTGTCTTTGATCTAAGGAAAATTATTATTTCCATTTTGAGATAAAATTATGCTCATTTAAGTTTCTGGTTGGTTTAGAAATTCGTACTCAACATCCACTTAAGTCACGAATAATAATGAAGAATTAAATATTTTTATTTAAAATCCATCATTTTTCGAAATATAACGGAAACAATTTTTAAATGCAATACAAAAACGAAAACTATTTGAAAATTCCCCTGACTTTTGTCATACTGTAATAACAATATTTTGACAGATACAAAATTATTTTTTTACATTTAAATGCACTTAATTAAACGGCGTAATTTGAAAATGTTTATTTATTTATTTATTTATTAAAAACCAATATTTGATAGTTACGAGTAATAGCTAATATACCTTACATATTTGCGACCTAGATTACAAAACTTTTTGATGGAGAACTTCACCGTTATTGATAGATTCGAAAAAAACTGAAGGCAACAGCAAACATAGTTGGCAACGTTACAACATCATTTACAGGCAAATCCTGCTTGCATATGATTACTATTTATGGGCAAACCCCGCTTGCAGTCTATTAAAAAGTGCAAAGAACAAAATGAAATAATAATTTTGGTTACTTTAAAATTGGTTTTATTTCCTTTTTAATGGTTTTAAGGAATTATTGATAAGAAATTAAAATCCTTTGTCTTCTGATAACGTACTTGGGATTACAAAAATATAAATAATACTTTTTGTCGACTTTCGGCGTGACTAATCTTTAAAAAAATTACGAATACGATCTTTTATAACGCAGTTATCAAAATGTGTTTACAATTTGCAAAAGCATTTTGGTTATCGCAAAACTACATTGCACTCTATGTAACACATCGCAATGCATTAGATTTTCGCTTTGTATGCACGCATAAAATAACTTAAATTAGATATTTTATTTACTGTATAAAATTACTGTAAAGTGAAAAAAACTGATGTTTGTATTTAAAAAGTATGAGGTAATACGCTTAAAGAATAGATTATACATATATGGATTTTATTTATATAAAATACTGTGTATCGGTAATAAAAAATAGAGGGTCACATGTAAAATGAAAATGTATTACAAATAAATACATATACTACTGTTATGGATTAAATTCATAATTTATTACCCTATTATCATCCATAACACTGTTTAATGATTCTATCCACATTGGATCTATATCTCCGTCGAGAATCAACCATCTCGGGCCTTCCGTCGAAGCATTTACTAAATCTCTTATCAAAGATGAAAGCAAACCTTGAGAAAGAAAGAATTCAGAATCTTGGATGTTTTTAAAGATATTAAAGATAACAGTTTCTGGTTAAAGGAAGGAAATAAAAAGGTTATTAAATTTATGAATAATTTCCTACAAATAAAAGATTATTAATGTAATAAATAATTCCCTATGAATAAAAGGGTATTAAAAAGGTATTATCGAAAGAATTACACAGTAGTGAATAATTTCTATGTATTTTCTAATAGACTGTAAAGTTTCTGATGATTAATTTTAAAATATTAAAAGAATTTCACGCTATTTTAGTAATGATTATTAATTGTTATTCCTTAATTTTTATTAAGTGGCATATATCGCAGTTATCTAGATGCGTCTTTAAGTACTACCTAATTTAACTGTAGTGTGTGTGTGGGAGGGTAAGAGGTGCTGTGGCAAACCGTTCAAACCAAATACTTAAACAAAATAAATATTGTATTCTTCCGTTATTACTTTTCATATTACTTTGTTATCATGTGCAGAACATAATAATGCAATGTTGAAAATAATAATTGATTTGGGAGTGTAAGTTTCGAGCAGTCTATTAAGCTTTAATTTTTTGGATAATATTTAATACTGTTCCTGTAACTTTATTTTGAAAGGTTTGCATTTCCTGTACAGATAATTTTTATAAACTGTTTAAAAGTATTCACAGTACTGCATTTAAAAGAATATCAGAGATGCTAACCATCTTTCCATTCTCTTGTCGCAGGATTGATGGTCCCGAAGAGTTCGTCGTTGGTTACAGCCTTCGGATTCAAATCAAAAGCCAGCGGCCGATCTCCTCTTTGTTGGTGAACTGTCAGTAGTGTTTTACAGACGCTGCTTTTTCCCGAACCTGCAGCTCCAATGACAAAAACCGAATGACGAACTTCAAGTAACTCAGACAGCTGTAAGACCTGTTTGATTTAAAATAGATTATGTTGATTGTTTTCTACACAATCACATTAGTTTTCATTCCTATAATTCTAAGAATATATAAATTAATGTTATTACGTAATCTTACAATTTAAACTTTCTAAATATGCTCTCTTTAAACCAGTTGGTTTCAGGGTATGTCGAGTATTCATAAGTTCATATCACCTACTATAAATACAAGATCTTTCGACAAAGTATTGAGGCTGCATTCTGTTTCCGCATTCTGTTTAGCCAATTGGCAAGAATTTCACCGTTTACTAAACATCTTACACAATGTTATCACACTCGGAGATACCCGCCGGCCTTTCTTATTAGCCTACGAAAATCAGTCTCATTATTTTCTGGACAAATCTTTTACGTATAGCGCTGGTATTTAAAGTGGTAAAATAGTGTTAGAACATATCATTGTAATTCTTTGGCTAGATACAAAGCACAAAATCTGGTCACTATAAGTTAATGCAGAATTAAGGCACAAATATTTACAATAAAATGATAGAAAGCCAACAAGAAATCATCGATTGCAACTTTCCTTCGTAGAACTTCAAGCAAATTATTGTTAAAAAGTCACTTATTAAACAATTATGCATAAGAAACTTTGGTCATTCAGATTAGTATGAATTATTTAAGTTAATTGAAGATAAAAAGGTTCTTCCCAAAGTTTTGGCAAAATAATTAAACGTTAATTCTAACAACGGATTTTACAAACCAAAAATTACAAATAAAAAATATACCAAAATTAACTAGTTTTTTTACCTTTAAAATAAAGTTATCCTCAGGTTGCAGCTTGAGTTCACTTATGGCGTCTCGTACAGACTTCTCCAAAGCGATATTCTTTCTTCGTGGAACATCAAGGGCAGGAAATAAATCTCCTATCAAACCCATAAATACTCCAACATCTTCACTTACTATCTTCGGAAGATTAAAATCTCGAAGAGCCAACATTAAAATCTGAAAGAGTGAATGTTTTATCATGGATAAATGTATATTATAAAAGAAAATATATAGCAAAAATTTTATTAGAATGACACAAAGAAGCCTTCCAGATGATAGATATTTATTTATTATGCATATTTTATACATTTCAATTTATTTTATACTTAAAGCAATGTACCAAGTGTATTTTAGATGAAATTTGAATTAGACAATGCAGTAGTTGAAAGGTTTATAAAATAAGTTTAGGAGTCAGGTTCCGTTACTGGAATATGATGCAATTAATAGATTATTTTCCTAAGAAATAATAATTGTCATCAATTTGAGCTTAATTATCGTCTTTTATGTATAATGAGATGCTATAGTCAAAGTGATAATTACTTTTTCATTTGATATTTTAATGCACCGAAAAACATTTTTACTCTGGCGAGTTTTGTCATTCTTATAAAAAACGAAAATCATTAAAATTATTTGGAGAAGAACGGTGTACAATTCAAACTGAAAAATGATTACAACAGTCCATATTTCTTGGTGAAATCATTTTAATAATTTTCAAACTATTTTCTGAAAAAAATTAAAGGTAAATGAATTAACTACATTATAGGAAACAGTTAAATAAAAAAACAAAAAATGTTGAGATAATTTTTTAAAAAGAACTAATTTATCTCTTTTTGGATCTAAAAAAGAAGTATATAGTATTTTTAGTAGAGAACAACTAGCTACTTATAACACTTAAAACAGATAGCCACAGAGAGAAAGTCATTGTTAGTTTAAGCTACCAACTGTGATGGCAATTCCTTTGCTGTACTGTTACAAGTACAGCAGCTGTGAAGAAATCTGTGACTTTTCAGACAACGCGTTAAAAAAGCAATGTAATTTTTTATGCTGAAATACATTCTCTCAATATCGTTCAAATTCTTCTTTCCAGGAACATAATTTATGTAGATTTACTTACGTGTTCTTCGGGAGTAGATGGGGATGACCTTTTCAAAGATCCTGCGACGACTAAGACAGATTTGATAGCTCGCAGTCCCCAGTCGTAATGATCCTGTTTACTGAGTAATTGTTTACACAAAGAATAAAGAGTGGTAAATTTTTGCCCCAAACTTCGTGCTTCCACAAATCCTTCTGCCACAAGCATGATTTCGCATATTAATTGACTGTCTGGAGCCACCATAGCACATGGTCTATAGAAATAAAAATTATTTAATTAATTAATTAAATAAAAAATGAACATTTTTATTCTAAAATACAAACATGTAACATAGAAAATGTTAAATGAAGCAATATTGTGTAGTGGAACTTTATTGAAATTTATGAGTGATGCAAACATTTTTAGGGGAATTATGTTTTGGAATAAAGATATTAGGTATTTGTAAGAATAAAGGCAATAATCATACTGATGCTTCATACAATAATTTAAAAGTAAATGTAGCTAGAGGAGACTGACATTTTATAGCTAATCAATGGAGTTGAACTTCCTTTCGAATCTAAAACTCGCAGTGAAAATAAATAAAGCATATTTTGATAGTAAGCAATTTTAAGATTTTTTTACTGTAAACATGCTTAATTATTTGTTGTCAAAAGCATGCACAGTCATTATTTATTAGAAAAATACTGTATGATTTAGTAAAATGTAAAACATCATGGTCCATACGTATTTATTTTCATTCGTATTAAATATATTAATTTTATAGCACTTATAGACTTGTTAATATTGTTATTAGCATAATTGTTAATTATGTAACATTATTAATTTATTTATTTTTGGCATATAATAATTTCGATTTCCTATTTTGGTATAAAACTGATAATCGTTTCATATTTTCAATATTCGGAACATTATAGTTAATTTATTTATTATGTTTTTTTTTATTATTTTTGTATATTGAAATCAATATCTATAATATTTTTTTCAGAATATTTGGGAAAATTGTTATAAGTAAAATTATTGTTATCCTATACTCATCCACTTAGTTCTGCTTCTTCGTCGATTAAGATCCGTTTGGGACTAGTTTAGATGGTTTTTCAGCAGAGAATGGAAAATGTTGGTTTAGATCAATGGTATTAAACGTCGATGTATATTTTAGATGAGTTTTATTTCCAGTATTGAAATGACCCGTTTTGTTACTAAGAACAGAGAAATTAACAACAGATGTCTTAAAACTGAACTACCGAAATAGTGTTTTCAGATTTTCTGGTAGTTCTGTTCTACCAGCATAACCAGGATTCATTGTGATAAAAATTCCAAGGGTAGATTTCAGTGGGACATCGTCTCCAAGTAAGCATAAGGAAGGTTTATTAGCTCTCAGGGCATCTTGGACACACTTTACCTAAATGAGAAAAATAATAATTAAATAAATCAAAATTCCGCGATACACTTAAGTAAATTTATAAATTAAATATCAGTACTTTTTAAAGAATTAAGATATGCATAAAATGTTATTAATATTCGAAACACACGTTTTAAAACTAGACAAAATATAAATCATATTTGTTAAAATTCCCCTTCAAAATCATCTTCAGCTGGTGGCAGATTTTGCTTGCCGTTCATTTTCAACAAAGTCTGCAAAAATTTAGCTAATGATTGAATTCATTTTACCATAATGACCATAAGCGTTAGGTGAGAAGTTGCTTTCTGCTGTGTTTCCTTTCTGCCTTCATATTTTGCTCGATGAGTAGCACGTTTCGATAAGCGGATGAAAGTAAGACGACACAAGCGACCAATTCATACTACCTTGGCTCCCGTTTAGCCACGTTAGTCTTAGCGTAGTCAATTCATAAATATTACCATGGATTTAGATGAGTAAATCATGCTAGTGGTTAAGTTGAAGATTCAAAAACATACTGCGAGAGTGGGAACGCAATTTAAAAATAGCAAAATAAATCTGGTTAAGATCAGTTAAAATTAAATATGGATCCTAAATTTGGTTTGGGAAACGCATGACCTTTGACTAAAAGATTTTGCTCAAATTTTACATAACTACAGATTAACTTAGGTGATTACGTGAAAAAAAAAAGTTCGTGAAGGTTAATGAAAAACACGTCTTTTCCTTCGAATTGTAAAAAAGGTTACTACGAAGAAAATTATGATAAACCGTTTATTCTATGCGAACGATGCCAATATTTTATATTTGAAATACCATGGAAAACTAATATTCAGAACGAAACAAATAAAAAATTGTTTCGGCGCAAAATTTTTGTTGAGGTTTGTTTTTGCGTTATTCTCTTAAAAATGCTTTTCAAAAAAATTTCTTTCGAAGTTAATAACAATACTTAAAACAAAAAAGATGCTGGCAGTAACGATATTTGATATAAAAATTCCAGGCTAGGAGCTCTGTCCTTTACTCTTCATTAGCGACGATGAGACGAGATTTAATGGAGATTGTTGAGATTAATTGCTTTAATGGACATTATTCTCTCTCTTCTCGCATATTTTTTTAAAAGTGCTCACTCTCTCTTCACGCATTCATGTATTTTAGAGTCTCCTTTATTATGCAAAATATCACTGAAATAGGTGAATAAAAAAAAATGTGCTTTGCTCTTGTTACTTAAAACTTTAGACTGAAGGGAAAAAAATCATTACCTTTATCAAAAGTATTCATATGAGGAAAAATGTAATGCAAGATTATATTTATGGCTGATTGAAATTCAGCATACACTTACTTCAAAAGTAGGGAGAGTTTCGCGCAGTGTAAGAAACGGAAATGCAAGTTGAAAATCTGAAGCGAAATACAAAACGACCAGCCTGTGGATTGATTTGGTTTATTTAATTATGGAAAAGCACACGAGGTCTATCTGCCTAAAATCTAGGTACAGAGTCTAGGTACCAATCTAGGTACAGAGTCAGTGAGACTAACGATGGTGATATGATGATATGAAAGACACAGCCGACGCAGATTATGAATGATCGTCTCCATTATTTTCCTGGCAAATTTTTTTCAGTCTTTTAAAATGATTTAAAATATCACATATACTAAAAACATCATTTTTCTTAAACTCATTCCTGATATCAGTAAAATATTTGCATGTTTCCCCATAAGTTGCCCGGTTCATTACAGAATATAACAGAGGTCAGACTCTTGTAATTTATACCTTTTAAAATAGAAAGAAAAACGACCATGACCTGTAATGATTTGGTTAACGTCAAAGTCTAAATAGCATAAAACATTTTTTAAGTTTAACAAATTTCATATAACTTTTATTTCTATCAGACCTTTCCCACTCCTCCCTACATTCATCAAAAATATAATTTTTCATAATAGTCACAGCTTTTCTTGTTGATCCCAGTACATCAATATCATGAGCATTAACATCGATAATTGCCTCCTTGGTCAGTGTGTCCGCCCTCTCATTTCCCAAATGTCTAATGTTTGCCTTCACTTTGTAAGAATTATGTTAATTTTATTAACAGTTAAATCTTAAGTTAAAGTTCCTTTCCTGTCAAATTCTTAACTTCAACTTACTACTTCCGGCCAGAACGTAGTTTTGGAATTTGCTGAATACTTAATGAGAAGGAGCGGTATTTAAACCACGAAGTTACTTACTGAGAGAGAGAGAGAATCAGAGTCTTGATCAGGTCGTTAGAGAGAGCTTGAAGAACTGACAGATTGTCAAAATAAATATGTATATCATATTTCTCTTTAAGATTCTTCTTAATCCATTTCAATGTCTAACTATGGTGTCCTGAGGAATGGCTCTCCGTTCCCTAGCAACCATTTGCCACATTTCATCTTCTGAACGCGGCAATGGCAGGGTCTGCAAATGGCGTTCAGTCACATACCAAATGTCTTCGATTGGTGAGAGATAAGAAGAGAACGGTGTCCAGGGAAGCATCTGTACACCTTGCACAGCACGTTAGCTGATGCGAGCAATGTGTGGTCGGGCTTTATCCTGCTGATAAAGGACATTGGGCACTTCATGAACGTAGAGGAGTGTCACCGGTCGCAGCACATCATCCACGTATCGTTGGGCCGTCATAGTGCCCTGAATACGAACTAGAGGTGGCCTGAAATCGTACGTAATTGCGTCCCAAACCATGATGCCACGTTGTCGCGCTGTGGGGCATTACACAGTTGCTGCCGGTATGGACCTGTCTCCCCACTGACGTCACACTAACGTGGCGACTATCATCGGAGAAATAGAAGCGTGACTCATCTGAAAACACATTCCTGTGCCATTCCGTAGTCCACATCGCTTGAGCCCGGCACCATTGCAGACGTTGGCGTTTATGGGGTCAATGGCAGTGTTCTTCACGACCGCCACGAGTGCGGGCCACTAGCCACCAATCGACGGCAAATGGTTCTGGTTAATATGGAAACATACAGGGTGTCTTGAACATGCTGCAGAATGGAAGTAGAAGTGACTTGCAGGTGCGCCAACGCTTGTCGACGGATGCCTCGATCCACTCGTGTTGACGTCCCTCTGGCTGCACTGGCACACCTCGAATTTGCCACATGTCCTTGTTCTGACCAGCATCGCCACAGCCGGTGCTCTGTGAACAAGTCCAGGTGTGTGTCAGCTGAGATCAACCAGCCCTTCTCAGCCCGATCACCATACCTCTCGTAAAAGAACTGCCTCCGTTGACAATGTCCTGGCATTCTCTGCTGTTAGCGTCCTGTGAGACAAGAAATGATTTTCTACGATGATTTCCCGAGAAGAAATTAACGACACGAAAATTGAACATATGCAGGTTCCTTCCCTTATATCTTCTTCAACGTGCGCTGGAGAACTGCGCATTTGACATCATAATTTCACATTCGCATAATTCGGTGACTTGCGTTTACCCTGAAATTTGCATAATTTTCGGACCAACCTATCTTGGTATTGCATTTTCAATGTCGGGGAATGTAATTTAAGTTACACAATAAAAATATTTTGGGTGTAAAATTATTATCTGAGTTAAAGGATAATATTCTTAGCTTTGTGAATTATTTAATATATGTGTTTCCTAATGTCTACGTTTTTTTTCCTGATATACTCGTTCAGGAAAACTATTATATCTTAATTCGAAAGGAAACTATATTGCTGTGAGTTTTTTAACATAAAGTTGTGGAATTTCACTTGTTTTGGCTGTATCTACTAAGTTAAGACGCCTAATTACGACTGCTAGCGGCTTATCGCTAAGTCTTGTAAAATATAAGAGGCGGACTAAGAGTATAAAACATCCCTTTGTTAAAACTCCATAAGTTGAACTGAAGGCACTTCAGGTGCTTAGAAATTAGACAATATTTATGACATGAACTTAAAAGTATAATTTTAAATGAAACCCAAGTCTTTGTTAGCCAAATTTGCTACGCACAAATATTTAAGCGCGCAAGTAGGCTTTGGACCTGCAGCACTATCTGCAATAAAGCAACGCTGTAGCAGGGATGCTTATTGTAGAATAACGACTAGTAATGTAAATTTTCCTCTTTTTTTTTTTTTTTTTTTTTTTTTTTTTCTTTTTTTTTTTTTTTTTTTTTTTTTTTTTTTTTTTTTTTTTTGGCCTTCAGCAGATATAACAGGCTTTGACTAATATAAACATAAATACCTTAAAGTCAGCCACATTATATGATATTCTTGAGATAATAAATAATCTGAAAATTACTAATGGTCAAGTTTTTTTTTTTTTTTTTTTTTTTTTTTTAAGCGAAGAAAATATTTACTTGAACAGCCACAACGGAGAGCACTTCCACAGATATACGATTGAATTCATCGAAGCAACCCCAAGCGCCTGTTTGCGCGAGACCTTTGTAAATGTTAGCGCATGATCTGTAATCCATTTGCTCAGAGCAGTTGAAGACATATACTAGAGTTCCTAGAGCACGTCCGAGATCTTTAACAGTCTCTGTTTTTCCAGTTCCAGCTGGTCCAGTTGGAGCACCACCCATCATTAACTTCAAAGATTGTGTCAAAGTTATAAAACATCTAAATGAAATTAGAAAATTCAAGTTACTTGAAAATTAAATCCATCAAGGATCGGCTTCAGATTTTTTAAGAAATACAAACTACCTTGATAGAAGAGAAAATGCCTACTCCGGCAAACATTATGCAGTATACAGGGTATCCCCAAAACATTGACGTCGGCTTTTACTCCTTAAATATGATAGTAAACATATAATATAAATTACAAAGTTACTTAAAAATGGTACATAATTTTATGAACCAATTTAAATTTTCAGTAAATTCAATTTAAAGAAATACAAAATTTACATATTAATGGCCCTTGTAATTTCATATCTCTGCAGCTTTTTGTGATAAAATGCTTACATTTTTACATGATCTTATTAGTGTATGGACCACATTTTGCTAAAATTGAAAATTTTTATATACGGGGGCCATATAAAAATGTAAATTTTGCCTTTTTTAAACTTAATTCCTTGAAGATTTTAATTGATTTCACAAAATTCTGTATCTATTTTACATAACTTTAATTTATACTATATGTCTACAATCATATTCAAGGAAACAAAGCTGAAGTCAATGTTTCTATGACATCCTGTATATATTGTATAGGTATGTTATATTCTTGCAATTTTTTGACTCTGGTGAAACCGGATGTTGAGTTAAAAATTTCACTCTGCATAACGAACTGTCTAGAACCACTAATAAAATGCAGAATACTGTTACACAATCTGGTACTTTGCTAATACACACTAAGCTTTAGTGAATGTTCTCTATTACCGGACATGTTTCCAGTTTCTGAATGCCAGGGTCTTTGTAGCGTTGATGACAAAAGGCACTCTCCTTTAGTTGCAATTGCCTAACAGTGGATACAATTTTTTTTTTTTTCGTGGAAGCCCGCAAACAGAAGCATTTGACGCTTTCTGCATCTTAAAATAATAATAAAGGAACGGATTTAGTAATCATATTAAAACCGTAACGTGTATTTTGACAAATGCTATCAAATATTTGCATGTGAAATCATGTGCTTAAAATTTTAAAACATACAATATATACTAAAAAAATCTGAAAGGTTTCAGATTTTAAATTATGTCTAAAGAGATTTTTTATAACATTTTGTGTGTTACATTTTTTTATTAAATATTACGTTCTTCGCACTTAAACCATAAAATTCAGTTCAAGAGCAATATCGCAAAATAGTTTTAAAATGAGCATATCTTTAGAATTTCCAGAGACACGCGCGCTGGAGATAAAAATGTTTTTCTGTACAACATTGCCATCCTCGCTTTGAAATCCTTGAGTTAATCAAAAATTCGTTAAAGTTTTACAAAATATGAAATTGATAATAAAACAAATTCCGAATTTCAAATTTGATCTACCACATGCCCGTATTCGGTGAGAAAATTATTACGTCACTCAAAATTCGATGGCTCTATGCACCGTTGTTTTATCACAATGCGAGAAATATACATACATTTATGCAGATTTTTCGTTATTTAATTTCTTGCAGGACTTTAACAATATAATGCAGAACTTTAACATAAAAATATAATGCAGGACTCTAACATTTGGGGGCATCAGTTTGAAAAGTGATTCGCCGTTTATAGTGATTCAATTGTAGATCTAAAACTTTAGAACATTAAATGAAATACATTATTAATAAAAAATAATAATAAATTTAGATTAAGTGTCATCCATGTTACTTCTTTTCAGTTCACACAAATGCTGAAGAAAATATAAAGTAGAAAATAACTTCATATTTTTACATGAAAGTTTTTATAATTCATAAATCATGAAAACGGCTTTTGTATCATTAAAGAGCTAATTCTTCGAAAACAATGGTAATACGAATGAACTAAAGAGTGAATTAAGACACAATAACACGCCGAATAAATACTGATTCAGAAGTCAAACAACAAAAATCAGCGTTAATTCACAAAATTTTCACAGGACTAGTTTCGACCATCGAAACTAGTCCTGTGAAAATTTTGTGAATTAACGCTGATTTTTGTTGTTTGACTTCTGAATCAGTAAAGAGTGAATATTTGAGTGAATAATTCAGTCTCTATATAAGTTGTTAAATTAAATGAACAACTAATGTAATGAAATGTTTTATTCACGTTTAAGAGGGAAATATTGTTAAAATTGGGGGCTGGGTCAAAATGTACGCACATAATAATGCAGATCAAATATTACTCAGTTATAGATAACTCTTATCCTATTGTACACAAATACAAATTTTATAAAGAAATTGAAGCATATAGTTACCAAAGTAATGTGTATTTATCACTAATTGTATGGAATTTTATGCACAGCAAGAATTATAGATGATAAATAAAGCAGAAATGAGGAATTAAATCTTCAAATCTTCGTTTTCAACTGCTCATATATTTAAGTTTTATAACTTTTGCATGAAAACTTCCTTTTCTCGAATTTCTAACTTAAACGTCTTTTAGTACGAAAGAGGTAAACACAGGTGTTTGACTTCAGTAAAGAAGTGTCTGATAAAAACACGAAATGTTTTCTTGATATCTAGAATATATATATTATACAAAACACCATACTGCATCCTTACTATAGAAGTAACATTAAAGGACAAGAATAAAGCTATTCTCTTCTGTAATGGTTCTTCACATATTCTATTTTAGAGAGGAGAATGTCTTCTTGATATCTAGAATATTTATTTTATATTATACAAAACACCAAACTGCATCTTTACTATAGAAGTAACATTAAAGAAGAACAAAACTATTCTCTTTTATAATGGTTCTTCACATATTTGTTTTAGAGGAGAAAATCTGAAAAGACGAAAATGATATAATATGCAATAAATAATTACCTGTCAGTAAGAGGAGTGACTACAAGTCGTGGTGCGTTGCCCAAGTATTCATAACAGTAATCGAAAGTTGCATCGCAGATATTAACTATGCAGTCTTCTTCCCAGCGGTGTCTCAACTGAGATTGCCAAGCGAAATCGGATTCATTCTCCACGCGTAGGGACACGAGGCGTGAAACAACATCTCTTGCATGGACGTCCATTGTGCAAATGGTCATTACTTTTTGTCGACATTCGCGGCTGAGATCTGTCAACAGTAGACCGATCAATTGGTGAAGCATTTGCATCTGAAACACAGGAATCCAGAAAACCCTGGTTATGCAGCTGAATCTTTAATCTACAATTTAATCAAAAAATTACGTTATATAGATATTGCTAACACTGATTCAAGAAATTTGATGTTTCTAATAAACTAGTAGATTTACTTGATTTAAGGCAACATCAGTTAAGAACACTTTAGCCAGCATTTTTAACTTTCTGCTAAAAAATTATTTCTAATGCTTCTATCAACTACATAATGCAGGATTTTAATAATTTAAACTCACCTTTATTTGTAGAAAAAAAAAAGTTTCCTAACTGAAAAATGGCTGAAAATTTCGTATTATTCTAAATTCCCGTTACTCTGAGCAAGTACTTTTTCCTTTTTCAAAATCACAGTTGCGTTTGTGATTAAATTCTGTTTTATTTAAAAAAAGTTTTAAACATTTAATTACTTTCATTTAAAAATTTTTCTCAATGGAATTCGAAAATTTAAATACTGTGGAACTTCAAACGTTTAGAAATTTGAATTACGTGAATTCGTGAATTTAGAATAACGTGATCTCAAGCTTTAAAACTAAACGTACAAAGTCTTATTTTTGCCATAAAATTTAACAAAGAAAAGTAATTTTCCTTTGTTTAAAATAATATATATATATATATAATGTTTCCATTAAACTGCAATTAAAGAATGAAAGTGCATTTTACTGTTAAAACTTTTTAAAAAATGAATTAAAATTAAGTGATGCATAATTTTAAACTCCTGACCTTATCATTTGTAATAAGCTCAATTTTGATGGGAAAAATAATTTAATTGAATGAAAATTTTTTAAAAGCGTAAATACATTTTAAACCAGGTTAGTTTTATTTGATTTAGAAAAGAAAACAAGCGATTTGGATAACCGCATATATTATAACCCGATATCCGCATATAACCGGATATATAAAGATTTAATAATTTACTGCTTTTACGAAGCTATACGTCACCGTATTCCACGCAACTTTTCATGAAAACGATCAGCCTTCTTCTTAACCTCCGTATGTGTGGAAAGCCTTGTTCTAATTTTTAAATTCAGTACTTAATTGCTGAAATACATCGGACAAAATCTGACAAAATTAGGCATATCGAAATAAGTACATTTATATCCTACATTTACGCTGAGGAGATATGACTGTACTTTTCTAATACGTACTTAAAAAGTGTTTCACACCTAATTTATCTCACATTTTTTAAACAGTTTAATATTATGACTTTCATTTTTACGTTTTCTTAGCAGTTAAGCCGAATACTGCACTGCCTTCTTTTGACCTCCTGCACAAATATTCGGTCAGAAAAAAAAGACTACGCAAATTAAAATGTATATATTATTATTTATGTATTAAATTATTTATTTAATGTAGCCATTAGAATGCATAACTATAGTTAATAATATGAATTAAATATAGTATAGTCAACTACGCAAATAAAATTAAAATGTATATATATTATTTAGGTATTAAATTATTTATTTAATGTAGCCATTAGAATGCATAACTATAGTTAATAATATGAATTAAAATAGTATAGTCAATTAATTATATATATAAAATATCGTTAATTGTTTGGAAATGTTGTTCTTGTCAGAAAGCTTGAGATCTCGTCTGGGAGTTTTCACGTGTCGACCAGACATCAGAACTCTGTTGTAAAGAAAAGCATTTATGTAAATTTAGTGTCGCCAGGTGCGTAATATTGTTTTTACATTATATATCAATTTTAATTCAGTACACTTTTGAGTAAATCTGATATTTTAGACCTTAGAAATCTTTTGCTGAAGGCAGCACAGAGACCATTAAAAAACAGATTAAGTAAAAAATTTATTAAGAGATGCAAGTTAAGCTGATTTTGCTTTTTTCCTTTCCATTTTTAACACAATAAACAAATATATAGTTATTGATCTATAAATTTTACAAATGTAGGTAAATTTGTTTCAGTTTTTTTCACACACAAAAAAGAATTCGAATTAAGCATATATATAATTCAGGGTATCATTCATATAATACTTGCGTCAGTCGAAGGAAACCAAAATTTAGTTGTTGACAATACAGATCTACATACTTAGTACATAATAATTATTACATGTGTTAAATTTTTATATGAGTTTTTCAATAAACCTGTTTTTTATTATATTGTTTTAGAGCTGTCTCGTGTCCTTGGCGGACTCTTTGAAGAGCTGCGCTGACTTCAGCTGTCCACCATATTTGAGTGCCGGTCAACGCCACCTGGGCAGCATTCTCGAAGATCCAAGATTCACGATTACTATCATCATAGGTGCTCAAGGCAGTGGAAAGGTCCTCTTTCAGCGTAAACTTGACGGCACAAAGTAAACGATCCAACCATGTTTCAACGGCTCCAGTGCAAGAACACGCTTCTCTCAGCGGGAGTTCTTCCCCATCCCTGCTGATGATGGCGAAAGCCGTTTCGTCTTTATCTCCTTCAAAACAAAGTTGAGATACTGAATCGAAAAGTTTGGGTAAATGGCGAACGACCTATATAAACAGAATATACAGCCTCAATTGATAATTTGTTGCAATCATCTTTGCAGAATATTGCATTATTACAATACATAAAATATACTGTCTTCCGCTAATGCGGCTAATTTTTTAAAGAAGTTAACTGGCATTGTTATGGATTTTCATGTATCTAATATTCCCATGTGTTGACTATGCATGCAAGCCTCCGAAATCAAGATTATTTTCAACTATAAGTTTTAAAATCTTTAATTATTACTAATATTAATTTAAAGATGCCTTAAAAATATAGAACTTGATTTGTATATGACGTATTGTACTGTCTGGCGTACTGGCTAAGTGCACATACACCGTGTAGCATATAAATTTTAGCGTATAAACTCTTAAAGAAAGACTATTTGCAAATTAAAAAAACATGTATTAGCAATTAATTAAATAGTTGATATTAAATTTAATAATACTTGCGTCAGCATAAGTTTTATAATTTCTCGTAAGGAAACATTTTTCAAAGACTTTTTTTAATAAATATGCTTCTTTCGTTATTTTACAGGAAAGTTCTCCTTATAGGCATCCCTCCCCTTATGCAGGTAGCTCTCGCAATTTATCTTATAATTGATTATTCCAAACGTGTAATGGTGCCCTCTCAGTGTGATAGCGTTAATAATATCCAGATTTGGCCACACGTCTCTTTTGACCAATAATTTTTATGGTGGGAAAACTGTTTTCTGAAAAGATTTTTCCTTTCTACAGAACATTTGTTTTACCACATATATATAACCCATGAAAGGCAGTAAGTGAAAGACTAGTGAATAATAATAGTTTGACCTCTGTTTAAATCCAGACAAACTGGCATATGTGTTTTGTGATTTTTACACGTGTAACATAAATACGTGTCGGTTTCCTTTAGAAAGTGTTCATGAATGCACTCTTTCCATTAGGCAAATAATTTCATTTTGATGATACAGTTGTAGACTGACGCATTAAGTTGAGCTTCGTGATTTTGATTATAAAAGGTGTAAAAAATAAACTTTCCCTAATAAAATATTTTTACAAAGCTTTCGCTCATGACTTTCATAAGATCAGTAATGAATTTACATAAAACAGCTTAAAAATGTATAACCTTTCGACTGAATACTTACACTTTTTGGTCTTGTCCCGTTTGATAATATATCAAGTAGATCTGCAGAAGATACAAAATAAAACCTTGGAAATATTCTTCGTTTCGTTTCCAAATAAGACGCAAGAGCCTTTTCACACAAAGCTAATTCTGTCTGCAAGTGTGTTAAATCTTCGTGCACATCAGGTCTTGCAGATACTGTAACAACTGTTTCGGTCTCTGCACTCAAAACGTTCACTAATCTTTTAAATGAAGCGTCGATAGATTTAAATCTGCAATGCATAGTAAAAAATATTATGTGGACAATACACGACTTCTTTGTACGGCCTATTGATTTATATACGTTTATTGCTGCATTTCATTTAAACTTATTTCCTCGAATTTCATTAGAGATATATTTCTCATTCAATTAATTCAATTCTCGCTTCGCGGCAAAGCAAAAATACATAAAAACTCAAAACACCATTAAAAATTGTAAAATACTACATAAAACACAAGCACAGTTAAAACGTTTAAAATATTTTTATACATTTAAAATTTTAGTTTCTATCCAAAAAAAAACAAGCAATTCTGCGAACGGCAAGACAGCAGTATAATAACGGCAATAAGATAGATATAGAACGGCAATAAGAACTATATAATTCAATCAATTTTAAAGCAAAAAATGAACAATTTGCCAAGATATAACAATAAAAATACTGAGCTCACTGAGCCGGGGTAACACACTGAGTGAGTATAATATGCTGCAAAGTATTGTGTTGTAAGACTTATTTGGTCTTAAAAATATTTTGCGCAATATGCTGCAAAAATTATGAAATAGAAAGAAGAAATATTGTAGTGAGCTCGCCAAAAAGTTACCAGGAGCTGTGGCACCAAGAAATAGTTCAACGCAGTATTTTTTAAAATAATAACATTGAAGGGTAAAAAAAATAGCCTACACGCGAAATAAAATGCAGAAAATAAAAACAGTTAAAACCAATCGTTGGAATCGGTGTCCACCGATAACATCGCGGCAAAATCATCGCGGGCGAAAACCTCGCGGAGAAAACAACGCAAGGCGAAAACGTCGTGCTACAAAACATCGTGGGAGAAAACATCGCAAAGAGAAAACATCGCAGTTCTAAAACATCGTGGTACAAAATATCGTCGTCGAAAATTAAGCGGTTCAAAAACTTCGCAGTTTAAAAGCATCGCGGTAAAAAATAAAGTATCGACAAATCATCGCAGGACGATAACATCGCAGACCTGCTTTATTCAGGCTTTAATAATTGTAAATGGGTATTCCCATAATGATTTGTGATCGCGAGATGGAAAGAAAGATAACTTTTACTTTCATATTTTTTTATTAACTGATAAATTTTTGCTGAAAAAGTAAGAAGGAAACTTAATACTTAAGAGTAAACTGAAGCAGAACAAGAAATAATTTTCATAATAAGAGTGAGATTGACAAAAGTGAAGAAAACAATCTCATAATTAGCAATTTTTTATGGATAAGGTCATGCAGTTACGTAGCTTCCTTTTTCTAAACGTTTTTAGATTACACTTTTAGTGAAAAAATACCAGTAAAAACTTTATAAAAATGATTTATTAATGACCTTTGTTAGTTAACTATGTCAGTTTAAAATTCTATTAAGTGCTATAAGTTGCCTTAATTTTCTATGCTTAAATTTCCTTCTTACTTTTTCAGCAAAAATTTATTAGTTAATAAAAAATACGAAAGTAAAGATTATCCTTCTTTCCATCTTGCGCTCACAAATCATTATGGAAATATCCATTTACAATTATTAAAGCCTGAAAAACGCATGCCTACGATGTTATCGTCCTGCGATGATTTGTCGATACTTTATTTTTTACCGCGATATTTTCGAAGACGATGTTTTTAAACTGCGAAGTTTTTGAACCGCTTTATTTTCGATGACGATATTTTGTATCACGATGTTTTAGAACTGCGATGTTTTCTCTTTGCGATGTTTTCTCCCACGATGTTTTGTATCACGACGTTTTCGCCTTGCATTGTTTTCTCCGCGACGTTTTCGTCCGCGATGTTTTCGGCTGTAACCGTTGGAAACATGTGAATGGCAAAAAATGCAGTAAAACCTATCGATGTGATAAGTGTAAAGTTAAAACATATAAAAAACTGAACAAGTTAAAACAAAATTAAAACATATGAAAAACATAAAATTACAAAAATTATAAAAATTACAAAGCGGAAAATGGTAAATTAGCCTAATTAAACTTCCAACCTGGCTTTTCAAGGGAAATTTCAGTTAAAAGTCGAACCAGGCTAACACCATTACGCGTTTCGCCGAAACAGACAATTGAAGCTCTTGTGTGACGAAAAATTTTTTTAAATAATATGAATTGTCCCGAAAAAATCTTTTTGGAGCTTCAATTCTCTGCTCCAATTTCCCGACGCGTCCGCAAAAAATGACACATTAAGGTGTAGAAAAAAAAATGTAAATGCAACTCCGAGTAAAGTTAGAATTAAAATAAAAATAAAATAAAATAAATAGCGGTCTGCTATTAGTCAAACTATACAATAACGTACGGGCTGGACCTGCTAGCTTAAAGAATAAAACTTTTATGAATATTATAGTTCTGAAATTAAATTCAAATAAAAACAACCGCCGTGGGTCTTGCTAAGACCAAGAAAAAATTTAAAAAAAACAAAAATAAACAGAAAAAACAGACATGTGGCTATGCTGTCCTCCTGATCGCGAAGCAAATTTGAAAAGGGGTTGTAATCCCCTCTGTGTCTTTCAAAGCCATCCCTCTCGTCGTGTGACGTAGGCGGGTGAAACAATGTCACTGCGTATCAGCCAATGCGATTAGATTGTCCTTTCGCGGGAACTCCTACCCCCCCCCGAGTTAAAGAGGGGTTGAAAGACTCGAAAAGACATGGTTCCATGTAAATAAATTTCCATAATATTAAAAATGAAGCATTTCTTCCACTCAAGAAGCTGAGATATTATTGATACAGTGTTTCACTTCCTAGGATTTTGTTTCCCATAGAAAAAACTTTTATGTTACAATTTGATTCCAAAGAAACGTTTTACTTCCCGAACATTTCCGAGGAATAAGTAAATTACGTTTAATTAATTTGGCAGGAAATATGGTATGCAATCTTTCTCATAATTTTGTTAATAAAAAGACAATTTTCCAATTATACTAAAATGACACGTCACAGTGTGCGTGAAGCAGACCTGAACTATGTACGAATTAATCGCAAATAGTCGTTACTGAACTTCGGAGATATGATATAATTATGTCTTTGATTTGATGCTGGTTATTGCTTTCTGTTAGTGGCTATTAGTGGGGCTATGACCTACAGCATTTACAGCATATCTTTATCCTACTTGAGAATCCTAAGAAGATGCCCTAAAAGTGCTGATAATAATTAATTATTAACTAATTAAAACTTCTATATTTGTAGAGACATTAGGTATTTTAAAGGAAGCAGGAGAGATGAAAAATAAGCAAACGCCTTCGCCAGGAATCGAACCACAGACCTCTGGTATACCGGCACAGCGTGCAGTACCACTACACCATGAAGGCACTCATGGTGTCTACACTCATCTACACTAAGAAGGTGGGAGAAATTTCTTATATACTCCCCCTTTTAAAGGGCGACTGGTTTTTTTAGGGTACCCAATCGCCAAATCCTGGGTGAGGAGAATCATCACTATTCAATACCCTTTCAGTTCAGGCGCCACTGTAGAGACATTAGGATATTTTTGGAAGCAAGGAAGATGAAAAATTAGCAAACGCCTTCGCCGGGAATCGAACCACGGACATATGGAATACCGGCCCAGCGTGCAGAACCACTACACCACGAAGGCACGCTAGAAAGGCGGGAGAAATACTTTATATATTCATCAACTCAAGGCAAAAATCTAAAACTTTTGGTTTTATTTACTTTATCATTTATATTTATTTCGCTATGTGTTATGGTTAAGAGAATAGTTATTTTTATCGTATGCTTACAGTTTTCATAGGCAAGTACAAAAAGCACTGGATGATTTTTAACTTCATACCTATCGCAGTCTTCAGGTAAGTGATCTTTAATGTCCTCCGAGCCCATAAAAATGCTTTCCATTTGAGACCATGCTCTTTGAACGTCAACCCACGCTCCGATAACTGACTCAACGTTTGAAAGCTTCTTTACCCAATCAGTAATATTATCCAAAAAATGAGCTACATGTTTCGATGACATTAGATTTTGTAACTGAACCTAAATTAAAATTTGTATTTCAATAAAAATCCATTATTAAACAGCAATGTATTAAATATTTTAATTTCCAATCAAAGAATTCTTTCATACCTGATTATCTTCTAATGTTCCAATAAGAACATCTGAAATATTTAACAAATGATGTCCAGTTCGTGGATGTGTTGAGCGTTCAAAAACTATTTCGGCCCACGTAGCTTCCAGTTCAGCTAATATCCTTTCTGTTGCCAATTCTTTGGATGCTCTTTCTACAATTCCTTCAACGACATCTTCGAATCTGTGTAGTTCCAGGGATAATAACTCTCCTAATGGAGTGTCCTCTGTAACCGAAAGTGGAACCTAAAACAAATTGGCAACTTTATGAACGCGATTCTTTTGCATTAATTATGAGAGTACTTTTAATATGATACATGAATCAGAATATATATTTATTGAAACTTCACCTGAGTTGCATTGGATAATTGTGTCCAGTGCCTGTCTTTAATAGCAGGATTTCGTAATTGATGAATGGCTCTTAGGGCAATTAAAATATTCTTTATGGTTTCCTGTAACCACAAGAAATTATCCCAAGTTCTCATTTCTTTATCCATTGACTTGATGTCTCTCATGTAAGCTTTGCATTTTATCTCCAAGGCGTCCAGATCGACTTTGATCCAAGGCGTTGCCTCCCACTGTCGAAGTTGTATCTTCACTTTCTCTATATACTGCCAAAGTTCATGCAGTAAGACTAATTCATTTTCGCATTGCTTTAGCTGACTGAATTCTGGCACATGTACCTAGATATAAAATATTATTTTGATTGATATAAAACAGTTTTTAATAAAATTTAATTTAAATATGTCTTGCTACTTTCTTGTGTGGCTGACTGAATGCTACAGATGAAATCTTTTATTTAAGATATCTTAAATGTATTAAGAAATCTCAGCTTCCATCAGGTTTACGTCAAAACTTCTTACTAATTAAACAACTGTTTATTATGTTCAGAAACAGAATTCAAGCAAAACATTTTTCAGCACTTTCAGTAAAAATAAATTTTTCAACCTTACCAAAGTTTACATTTAAATATTATATTACTCGCAGAATAAATTGCAGTAAATTGCAATAAAGCTATTTTCCAAAGTCGTAATTTTTAGTGTTAAGAAACGTAAATAACTTCCTTTTTTATTCATTTATAATCATATTTCATCTCCATGCGAAGAAATTCTTTACAAATTTTTAATAGACGTATTTATGAAAATATGTCTGTTCGTGTCTTGAAATGTTCTGCTGCTTTCAAATGCTCTTATATAGGTTTCCTCTAAACAAAAAATTCCTATTAATATGTAAGATAATCAAGTGGAAATACCAAATAACATTACTGATGCAGTAGCTAACATGGTTATTAATAAAAATAAAATTAGACTCAACTAAAACAACCTTTGTTTCAATTTTTGTTTATAAAATGATATGTGATAAATAAACTTCAATGTTCTACTATTACTAAAGTACTTCGAAGTTTAAGTAAAATTTCAAGACCGTGATTTACATTTTTCTGATGTTGATGTGGTTTGAAATGAACAAGGCTCATCACTTATATAGAAAATTATTATATAGCAGTTATAGAAAATTAGGAATGCATACGTAAAAGTGCGTTTGAGAAATTTTGCTTTTTCACTGTACAAAAGAAAGGCATTCAAACAAGTATAAGAAAAACTTAAAAAATTCACAGTTTTGTTGTGGAGTTTCAGAAAGACGTTTCATTTAAGTTCAACAAAATAATAAAAGAATAAAATTCACATGCAAAAACTATCTGGAGCCTGTTACAAATAAATTCATAAAAGTACTCTATAAATAAACTATTTAGCAAATAATTAGGCACTCAAAAATGGAATATATCTATTAACATGTTGTTTTGTACGCTTGATGATATGATAGATTTCAGAAATAAAAAATACCAAATAAAATAGTTACTTTTACTTATCTGGTGTGAGATAGGGATTTTATAGTTTTTTAAGACAGTAATAGACTGAAAGGAGAGAGGTGAGATGAAGCAGGTCTCTAGCATATTGCTTACCCAACAAAAAGCAATGATAAATTAAGGAAAATAAATTTATTTCAAAATTTTTATTACTGATTATTGATTAAATCCAGCAACATTACAAGGCACAGAATGTATTTAAAAAACATTAGTTTATCTCTGTTATATTGTTTAATGGATAATACCTCTTTTTATCTAAAGTGAAATTAATAATAAATAAATTGAAAAGCTAACAATACAAATAAATAGACTTAATTTATAAAGACAGATTCGTAAAAACTGAAACAAATTTATAGGTTACGTTACAATGTCTAGTGAAGACCAGCCCGGTTATAGCATGATAAAACTTTACAGAAGCTGACCATATATTTTATTTTGAAGAGCACAATACCGTTTCATTTTTGTGCCCCGGCAGTTCAACAATTATAGTAAAATATCCAATTTGTTTTAATATATAATTCAAAATATATTTAGCTTTTGGTCAGTCGCAGTAAACTTATTTGCATCTTTCTGGTGAATGATTGAAATCTATGTGCATAGTACCTTATTGGTAACATTTGCGTTTTTTAGACGTTCCATATTAATAAAACGTTCCATATTAATAAAATTCTGCAATGAAACTATTGCTTTTTTGTCACATTGGTGCACTTGCGTCACATTAAAAAAGCAAATATAAGCCATAACAGCTTCTTTAATAAGCAAATCCTCTCCCATTTAAGAGATAACTAGAAAGCCCGGGCAGCGAGGAAGGCCCTTTGCTTACTGCCCCACGGGGTTTCCCCCTTCTACTTGCTTAATTGCTTCAAGTAGAGTACAATGAAGGAAACCACTGGCGGTACATTTCTTAAGAGCCCACCGCTAGCTCAATCAATAAAGGTGATTTAAATAATAAAATGTTAATTCACATGTCAAAGATCTCTTTGTACACAACATTTTTTGTGTAGATCTTTCCCTCATTTTTAAGCTCGCCTTGCAGAGGACCATCCATTATTTTTAATTTTGCATACTTGTTGCTTGCAGCATAGGCTTGCCTCGTGGTTTCATTTTATAGGATGAATCAGAAATACGGCTATGCATTATATCGCATTGTGTGATAATATTATGGCTAGAGGAACTGAAAGTATCATTAGAAAGCCTTCCGACTGAAGAATACTAGACATATATGTCAGCCAGTTCCACTTTATTGTTCGAACTGTTTCGCTTTTCGAATGCTTTCGTAATTTTTATCGAATTTGTTGCTCTGCTGCAAATGCGAAGCCTTTCAGAAGATTTTCTTCTCAGATGTTTCCAGCTGTAAGCAGGTTTTTGTTCAGTTCAGTTCAGTTCTTTGTTAAAATTCCGTTCAGTTTCAGGCAATCACAATCATTCTGGTGAACATAGCGCAAATTTAACATGTTGATCTTCGCTAATGTTATAAACTCCTGGTACGGGACTTTATTTGAAATGTGGGGGGAAAATGAAGTTTCAAATCTAATATACCATTTACAACTTACCTCTACGGTGTAGAATAATATATTACATTCACTTCAAGAGCCTTCAAACGCATTTCTTTTCCCCATGCACATTATTTTATAGCCATAAATCTAAAATGACATGAGAAAGTACACATTAAGTTTTCTCTTTTAAGAAGCTTCACCAAACTGAATAAATTAATATGAACTAGAACAAGAGTAGTCTGTCAGCTTTCTAAGCATCCAATTTTCCGTTGCTCAAATAGAGTATGCCCATTGCTTATAGCAGCATTTCTCAAACTCTTTTCAAATGGTGACCATATTTATAACTTATAATGTTCTGAGGATCACCTTGCTTTTAATCTCCTTGGAAAGTAATTTTTTTCGTATTTATTGCTACCAGTATAATAATATTTTTAAAATATAATTAATTAAAATTCATTTAATTTAAATCGATATTAAGTAAGTATGTAAATAGAAGGACATTCGTATTTATTTTTAAATTCAAGGCTATTAGAGTTTGGATACTCTTACCTTATTAATTAAAACTTAAATAAATGCTGGTACTCAAGTTAATGAGATGGATGAGCCTGCCGATTCTTGCACAGCTGCTCTATGCTGGGATGTATGTTAGTAAGCTAAGGTCTGAGATGGGCACATTGTCGATTTGGGTAATTCTAATTTGGAAATGTCAAGCCGATTTGAGTACTTTACTTTTATTTGAGCTAGTGACGAATCAAAACAATCGAAGCAAACTGAATTATAATTTGTAAAGTATTGTACAGTTCACTGCAATTCCTTTTGACGTAGTGGTGCCAAATGTGCAAAGAAACGATTAAACACCACGATAAACTTTAAATCCCTCTTTTGTTGCTAAGAATAGAGTGAGAAGTCTATAGGGAGGGTAACCTAAAATAACATAAATTTTATAAAATGTCTTTCTTGGAAGAAAAAGTGAGAGATGACTGCTATATGAAATCTGAGATTTTTAGCTATAATGGGGAAATATTATTGGATATTTCATGTAGAAAAAAATATAGTTAAATTGGATGAAATCTTTCGTCCTGTTTTTTGTCTGGTGGCTTCCAAGGCCTTTTATCTGTTAATGTTATTTTTTAAGGTAATTTCTCCTTGATAAAGCGGGATTTGCTTTTTTATTAAAAATGATTATTTGGCACAGCTGTCTTACTTCAAACAATTTTCCAGCTTTAGCTAGTTCTGCAACTTCTTCTTGCAAGGTACTTATATCTTTATGAAGCTTTTCTAGCATATCTTCGGCAGGTAATGGACAATCCCTGTGAAAAGCAGGAGATTTTCGAAACTGTTCTCGGAACTGAATTTGCTTGGAACTGAAAGCTGCTACTTTTTTTCGCACTGCAGACGCTTCTTTGGCCATGGGAGTCAGAATCTGTTGCCGCCAATGTTCTGATAATTTTTTAGTGTGCTGCCATCTTTCGGGAAGTTTCTGAAAGAAATTGTAAAACGTAAAAATTAGTTGTTGTTTCTTCAGTGTAAAATCATAACTCTTTTATTTCTCCCTTAAATTATGAAAAAAAAGAGCTTAAAAAGCTTAATTCTTCTATTAGAAAGCAGGTAAAGTATAATACAATCCCTCTCGGCTACCTTTTGGATCACGGGTATATGTTAGATGAATTTCATTCGATTACTCATACTTAGGATAAGTTAAAATACTTTAGCTACAGAAATAAAATTCTGCAATGAAACTATTGTTTTGTCACATTGGTGCACTTGCGTCACATTAAAAAAGCAAATATAAGCCATAACAGCTTCTTTAATAAGCAAATCCTCTCCCATTTAAGAGATAACTAGAAAGCCCGGGCAGCGAGGAAGCCCCTTTGCTTACTGCTCCTCGGGGTTTCCCCCTTCTACTTGCTTAATTGCTTCAAGTAGAGTACAATGAAGGAAACCACTGGCGGTACATTTCTTAAGAGCCCACCGCTAGCTCAATCAATAAAGGTGATTTAAATAATAAAACGTTAATTCACATGTTAAAGATCTCTTTGTACACAACATTTTTTGTGTAGATCTTTCCCTCATTTTTAAGCTCGCCTTGCAGAGTACCATCCATTATTTTTAATTTTACGTCCGTTCTTTCACGAACTCTTGAACAGGCAACATAAAGTTAACCGTGTCCAAATGCAGGCTAAGGTAAAAAAATGCCAACATGCTTAAGCGTTTGGCTCTGAAACTTATGGACGTTCATAGCAAAGGCAAGTTTTACAGGAAATTGTCTACGTCTCAATTGAAACGGGAACCCTGTGCCGTGGCAACTCCACCCCATGGGCTAGTACAGTTACGCAAGCAACCAATAAACTATCGGCGACAAACAGACACTTAAGTCGCATATATATATCGGGTGAAGTAACATCATCTCCTCCGAAACGACTGGCTCCCTGGCTTAGCGAAGCACTTCGTTGGATTCCGCAGGTCCGTGGCACGCCATTTTGACCATTCGCGTCTTCTTGGGACTTTAATTAGCCGAAATATTAATTAAAAACTAATTTTCCCCTACGTTTTCCCTACATTTTCCACTTTCTTTCGTTGGTTTTCCCTATTACAGGAATTTGGCTACTTGCCAAATTCGTTTTTCTCGAATATCTACGGAACGGCGCCGAGTTGAAATCCGAAAATGCGTATCCTCGGATTCCAAAAAATTCTCCGAATGCATCGATAGCGTTCTCCTCTTCGCACGACTTTAATCGGCCAAGATATTAATTAAAAACTGCGGAAACGTTAATTTACGCGCTCATTTTTCCGAGTGGCAACAATAAACTATCGGCGACACTGCTAGCTCTAGTGCTTTGAATAAAAAAAATTGCTTAGTTAAAATACTTCTTTAAAGTTGCTTAGTTAAAATGAATTATTAATCAATTAATTCATAGACTGAAACAGAAATTGTATAGTTTCTTATTTTTCTTTTCAATGCTTTCTTCTGAAAAGCAGCCGTTAAAAATTTTACTTTTCATTTCACTAAATTTCATTAATTAATTTTAGCATTTACTGCTTAGTTAAAAAAGTTGGAAAATTAAAAAATAACGTCAGAATTCATTTCTGTCTCATTATCGTTTTGGGTACCAATGCAGTTCTAGAATTCGTGATAAAAATATACAATCAATTTTCATCATTATTATTTTTTGTTGTTATTTTTTCTGAATATTTTACCTAAACACGAATGTAATTATTCATTAGTTATCAAAATACAATTAAATTTCATAACGTATATGTCATCGATTTTAATTTTTGCTTCATTCTGATTTATACTTCAGTTAAACGAAGAGAATAGTTTTAAAAATAAGATTTCAAATTTGGCATTAAATTCAATGAATCAGCTGAATATCTGTAATGCAAAGACAAAAATATTTTGTTTCTGTGCAGGTTTTCACTGACTGCAGAATCTAAAATGGTGACTAATCAACCAGATTTTGATATATACATGAAGACAGAGAGGGGCTCCAGGCATGAAAGCCTATACACTATTATTACCTCAACCCTGGAGCGAATCTCATAGTGAAATGTTGCAACCGAAGTCAGCCCGAGACAGACCTGACAGCACCCGTACGGTCCCTGTCGAGCCTAAACGGACCACCGAATAGTCGGTGGCGTTAGTTCTGTGAAGAAAATCTATTAACATCAGAAGCCGGGTTTGTCTAAGTACAGATCTTAGCCCGAGTCGATCTCTGGGGCGGATGAGATAAATACAGTGAAAACTTTTGCCGCTTCTCTGTATTTGTTCGCGTATTCTGCCCCCTTTCTTTTTCGCTAATTTTCTCATACGAAAATGAAACGCGGTTACATTAAGAACGTAATGAATGCAAAGCATTCACGAATAAACTAACGGTTACTATTTCAATATCTTTTACTTAAAAGAAACCTATCTTACACTACAAATACGTAGTAATATTAAGATTACTAATATCTAATAAGACATCTTCGTTTCTCTTAAATCTCGGCCGCTTTGATTGCTGTCCATTCCTATTGCCTAAGCGTAAAATCATTTAATGCTGCTGGAACTGTCGTGTGAGTCGTCTGTTGCAGTTTGCAAACCATCGCCATCTTCATCATCTTCTCCTATGTTTAGTCTCCTATCTTCCAACGTTCAATGATCTTCAGAACTACCATGGCCGTTAGATATCCCTATTTTCGTTTCACTATTACTGCTTCAAGAGTTAGAGCCGATGCATCCATAATGCACGACCGAATCAATTAGTAAAAAAAAAAAAAAATCATTACATGGACGAATTTTAAAATTTAGCGAAGCTCGCTTTCTGAATGCCTTGGGGAAGGAGAAAATTCCACAAATACTCTAGAAAAATTTCAGAACCTTACGCTAAAATATTAATGGGAAAAATAGTAGAGTAAATGCGGTATTTGAATAAAATGACTGCTATTGATCATATTTCTGAGAATATAATTAAATAACTTTATTGAACAAGAGTTTCATTGATCAGTCGTTTTCAGACAGCCATCTCCACAGAAGACAAAATCGTGTGAAGTGTGAGTAGTCATCTAACAGGAGTTTCACTAGATTTAATTCTTACAAACACAAATTCAAATTTAAGATTCACACACACTGAAATTTAAAATCAGTTATGTGTATCGTTGTTACATGTAACTTCAGCTTTTCAAATCATTTAAGCTTAAGGCAATCTTTTATTTCCTTCTCCTGCTTTTTGGAAAATAAAGTTCAAAGTTTATAAGTGAAGATAGTGTTCATTAGAAATCCCACAATATTTTATTTTAAAACACTGAATATCCGCTGAATTACTTTTGCTTTACAGATAGTAATCTAATAAGATATTGGACTATCTTTTCTACATCATAGTTTGATTATGTCTAAGAACAAATTTCGCAGATGTTGAAAGTCCTCTATACGTAACTCGACTCACTAGAGTCCTCTGTATGAACTCGACAGCAATGGTTACTGCCCAGCAGTTCCATCAGGTCGCGGACAAGTATCAGCAACTTTCAGGCATATGTGATAAGGTCACATAAAAGAAGAAGAGACTGAAGATTTATATGGACAAGGATGTCTCGTGAGCATAAGCTGAAAATTATTATTTTTTAACTTACAAATACGTTTTCAATAGTTGTTAAAATAGTCTTTATTAAAATAATTAAATCGTTGGCAATGTTAAAAATGCAAGCTCGAGAGCCACGAATTGCTCTCCCACGTTGATTTTAAGGAAAAGATTTAGGTTTTTCTCTTCTGTTTGTATGTAGCCATTTTTTTTTTTTTTTTTTTGGACGTTCAATAAAATTTTCATGTGATGTTCCGTCATTAGCGTTTTCATTGGAGTTCAACATCACACCGTTGAAGCATTAACACTACACCACAGCAGTAAATATTAAAAGTGGGTGGCAGCTTTTAGGGATTGTTCCTGAAAGTAAATTTAGGAACGGACTTTTTCACCTGTGAACTTGAGTTTTATGTTAACAGTCAAGACTTTCTTCTCTTCAAGAACGATCTAATTTTGCGTGCAAGGACAGTTCGCGTGGTGAAACTTCTTCAGTGACAAGTGACAGTGTGTCAGAAGAGAACGCCGGAGGAAGCGTGATCTAGTGCCGCAAAATAGTGAAATTTCCCGGAAGAATATCCAAGTAGTGCCAGGAGAGTCACTCGAAGGCGTCTTTAAAATAGGTGAGTACCATTTTTGTGATTTTGGAGAAGTTATGCCAGTTATTCGAGACTAGGTTTATTTTGGATATAGTTTTGTTTTGGATATAGTTTTGTTTTTTGGGGATCAAAAGTTTTCTGGTGGTTATTGAAAGTTAAGCTTGTGGTTACTGTTGCTAATTGAAATTAAATTGTTTGTTCTATTGTTTTAGTAACTGTTTAAATTATATGAAGTATTGTAACGGTATGCTTTAGAAAAATTTAGTTTTAAATCAGTCCAGAGTTAGAAGACAATATTTATATAGTTGACATAGAGCAGGAAAAGGCTGCCTCTTAATTAGTATTTTTTTTATATACGATTTTATATACGCTATTTATATGTAGGCATAGGTATTATCATTAAGTGTTGTAAGGCAATTTGCGTTCAGAATTGTTAGGGAATTATTCAGTTTTGGAGAGATAGACCTGTTGTTGTTTTTGTGTTATTGTATTTCGGGTTATTTTTCTTTAATTTTCCATAATGGGTGATTTTATGAGGAAATTTACTAAACCTCTGCTATTGGAGTTAGCGGAGGAAATGGAAACAAATATGTCTCAGGCAAATAGAGTACGAGAAATTAGGCAGGCTACTCGAAATGCCGAGGACTATGAAGAAGAAGCTGCGAAAGAATACGCGACAAGAATTTGGGCTGCGGCTGAGAAGAGAAAAGCAGAAGAAACAGCCGAACAAGACAGAGAAGAGCGGGAACGTGAACAAGAGAGAGCGGAACGGGAACGGGAGCGAGTTTTTGAATTGGAAAGGTTAAAACTGATGAATGTGGTTCAGACTA